TGTAGTACTGGAATTTAGTTGGAAGAATAAAACATTTACTTCTAATCTGTTTGTTTTTAATATGCAGGTGGAACTTTTGCTGTGTATGAATAAACTTAAATCTGAGTGTTTAAATGAAAACTTCATTTACTAGCAGTAGTGGGGTGGGTCAGAATTTTAGATCAGGAGGAGGAGGTGGATGAAAATCTCAGGTATTTCTTCGGAGGTGAAGAAATCTTCCTCAGATTTGCTGTATCGTTTCCTGTCGTGGAAGCGTGTTTGTTACAGAACTGATAAGAAACTGGTGATTTAATTCAAATAGTTGTGCTCATGTTCCTTCAGGTTTAAATGACACATCCCAGGAAATCTGTTCATGAGGTAGAGTGGGTGCTCGTTCCCACGAGCTGGAGCTACGTAGGTATTGGAAGAGCTCAAGGTGTGTGATCTTTTTTGTGTTGAGAGTGGAGGGCTTTGTCGTTGGACGTGTTCAGCTGTTTCCAGACTGGTTCCAAAGCTTGGGGTGAATTCCTGATTCCTGGATCATTACCTGGCAAGTCCATATGTGCCTGCTGGGGGTTAGAAGTGCAAGTGACTCGGGTTATCTGCTTTGGGGACATTCAAGTAGTTTCAAAATAATCCTTCGATGATGGACTCTTGTCTCCTCTAACTTACTCTCCGCTTCTGGTGAAGTGGAAGTCTGTTGTGTAATAGGTCTTTGTACCATTTCAAATTAGTTGGAAGAGTTTTAGTTGAAAGGTAATTGAAACTTCAGCTGGTAGATACATGTGTTAATTGGCTCCTGCTGATGCTTAAGGTTCCAGAGAAGCCATGTGATGAGCTCTAGTTCTTAATGGACTTAATTCACTTAGTAGTGAGGTTACATTTTCAGAATTGGGTGTATCTCCACAATATCAGAGTATTTTCTGCTCACTTTCCTGAAACTTATGTTACCCAAATATTTGGATTCTTTTTACTATATTTTCAAAATCTTTGGAAATGGGAAATCCCTACTAGACTCCCCTTTCAGGTCTTCTGTTACTGAAAATAAAACTATCAAGGGCTGTAATTTCTGTTGATTACCTTGGCGTTCTCAGTCCCTCTCCTGCCTCCTCTTCATTTTTGTACCTCTTTTTATTGTTAATTTGCCCAGGGTACGAAAACCACTTCTAGGTGGACCACAACCCAAATTCCAGTGTCCTGATACATTTCCTGTATCTCCTGTGTTGTAGAAGATCCTTGTTATGACTTGATAGAAGTGTGTATGTGCCTAACTGATAATTTGAGATAGGAGTAGAATTAAGTTACCAGCCATTGTGATCATCTCTTATCTTTTCCTTTGGGGTATTATGAGTTATTATAAATAAGAAGTGATGTCATGTTAGCACCCAGCAACTCCTCTGCTGCTCCAAATTAATGCATAATAAGCAGTTTTCCGGTAGATGGAGTATAATGCCACCATGGGTGTGTGTGCTTCACAGCTGTGGGATGCTTAATTTATGCCCCTTTTGAAAAGGAGGTTGCATTCTTTGAAATTTTTCATTTTCTTTTTTAACCTGCTGCTTGTTCTGTCTTGGACTTTAAACCAGCTCCTTTTCCTAATCTCAGTGCCAGTATCTGATGTGATTAATTTCACATGAAAGGCTTGTTCTAACAGGTGCCTTATTTTTGAGTAGGAAAATGGCCAGCTGCTCGATTACTGTTGGAAAAAATGAGGAAAATTGGAATGCTGTGAGGAGCAGGCTGGTGCTTAAAACCAAACCTGCTTTGGAGAGCCTTTTCAAAGGCTCCTGAGTCAAGCAGAAATGGGTAAGATTGAATAACTGCTTAATTCTTGGTTAGAAACTAGTTTGTGAAAGGTCTCTTCGTTCCTGAGTTGGGAATTGGGAAGGATTTAGCTCTGTGATTCCATGGTAGAGAGGAAAAAACTCAAGGCAAGTAAAGTCTTGAGAATTTCTGCTCTTGTGAACCAGCACTGGTGACCTTTGCATTGGAAACCATTCTCTGAGATGAAGGATGTGAGGATGAGCTTTTGGCTTCCCCAGACACGTGGCTTATTCCTACATTTTACTGCTGTTGTAGGCTCCAAGATAAAAATGGCCAAGTTTGTGTTTGAAAGCAGCAGCACAGTCGTGTAAAGAGCTGTCAAAGAACAGCATCTGTAACAGGAGAGAAAAATGGTCCTGTTCAAACAAGAGTTTAACTTATTTTCAGGTCTGATTTTTGGCAGTAGTTTTTGTTGAAGATGTGGCTGTTGAAGAATAGAACAGAGTTCCCAGTTGAGAGGTGAGGCTTTACGTTGTTACAGTTTAAGAGCTAGTACCACAGTACAAAAATAGGCTTTTTTTGCCTTGCTTTCAGTGAATGTTGCAGACAGAGCTGCTTTCCTGGAGTATCTGCAGAACGTTATTGCTGTGCAGACAGTTGTAGCAACAGACAGTTAAAAATTACATACATATATGCAGTTGAAATCTCCCGTGTGTCTATTTCAACTCAGGTATGTGAGGGTGAACTTGGAATATTTACAACAAAGAGCAGTCAAATAAATGATGAGAGGAGCCAAATGTAAATAAAATTCATACTGTATAGCCAGATTATCCTCAAACAGAAAGCCTGGTGTTACAAGACCCCTGGCACCAGGGTTCCATTCAAGGAATAAAAGCAGGAGGTGTTTTTTCAGAGCTGTAATGTCTCTGCTGTTAATGATGTTGGTTCAGAATTTAGGGATTTTTTTTTTTTCAGGCAGGTCGGACTCTGACTACAAAGTCCAGCCTCTGCAGAAAGGCAAACTGAAGGAAATTTATGACCAGTTGGGGTTTTTTTAATTATTTTTAACTGTCCAATCTTCCTGCCCTCCTCGCTGAAGAAAATTAAATTACACAGTATTTCTTACATACTTTAAGTCAAGTATGTCCATTTCATGTATCTAACAGTCTGAAGTGCCAAATCCTGAATTGATTTGATCCTGAGAAAATGTATGTAGCATAGAAAACGTGTGACTTTAAGCTTCAGAATTTGTTTTGCTGGTTTAACGTCATGTTGCCTGCACGTTTGGGGATTAAAAAGCCACACGCTGCTGCTGGGGCTTGTTTCTCTCTTATTTCTGAATATTTTACCCTGCAGAGAGAGGTGTGAAGGTGGGATGGTGTGGATGAGGTGAGGCTGGTGGCTGAGGAGAGCCTGGCTCCATGTTGAGCAGCAGGACACTGGGCTGTTCTGCTCCCTTCCACTAATGAGGTGTAGTGGGAAGATAAACAGGTGAGGTTTGGGACTAGAGGGGGGCTATTTAGTGTTCCCCTCCCACCAAAATGTCACATTTTCCTCTCTGCTGCTGGAAATCTGTATCTATAAAGACCAGGATAAAGGTGCCCTGGCTTGGTCTCTGGAGGGAAGAGCAGTTGGGGTGGTTTGTTGACCCCCATCATGTCCTGGTGGAAGAGAGGAGCTTGGAACTGCTCTGCTGGGATGCTGAGAGTTCTGGCTGTGAGTTCTTGGGCTGTTTCCTGAGCTGTAGGTTCAGGCAGCATAAAGGGCAATAAACCACTTGTCCTTCCCCAGCCCTTCCACTCGCCTGGCAACAGGGAACTGGGCAGCAGGAAGCGTTGCTGTGTGTCTGCAATTACAGCAATTAGAAAATACAGGGCTCCTGCCCTCTCCGAGGGTATTTCAAACAAACCTGACCTATCTTATATACATTCCTGGGTAAGTTATAGGTTTAGGTTCTTGTAGTAGGACTTCCCCCCCCCGACCCTAGTACAGATCTGGTTTATGTGACTGATTCAATCTTCAGAGCCACAGGTTGGTTTCAGTCGGTGTGAAGTGCGGGTGCAACCAAGGGGCAGGACCTGGATCCTCCTGACACCTGAACACAGGCACCAAGAGCAGCACTTCAGTGCTTCAGATAGAAGGGAAATGACATCCTTAATCCTCTTGGTCAGCTGAGGAGGTCTGGGAGTTTCTTGGAGGTACGTACACTCTTTTCCAATAACCCCAGTAATCACCGAGCAACTTTGAAGTGGGTTGAGAGGGACAAAGTCTAAACATTTCTAACTGCAGCCCTTGCCTGGGTGATAAGACCGACCTGAAGTCTCCACCCAGAGGGTTGAAATGCACGTGAGGTGGCCCTGGGGACAGTTTATCTCCGTAGGGCACACGCACAGGCTGTTCTGGAGGGAACACAGCTCTTCCCCTTCGGTTTCTAAGGCTTTTTCCAGGGTTGGAAAACACGGGACACTGACATCAGCATAAACACATTTTGATGTTTAACCAAACCAAGTCTCGGGGGAAGCTGAAGCTGGATGCAGTAAGATCTGCAGCACAGCTTTTGAGTTCCCAAAAACGACATGGGGCTGGTTAGGGACATACCCATGTTACTCCCATACCTGGAATCAGGTGGAGGATTTTCCTAACAACCTCAGCTTCCTTGGGGACCAGACCTCCAGCAATGGCCATGGCTTTTTTCCCACCTTTTTGGCACTGGGTTTATTTGTAGCTTTTTTTGCAGCACCAGGCACCCATGTGTGACCGACTCAAGGCAGAGAACAGCAGCTCTTTGGTCTGTCCTGACCAAATCAGCAGCAGCCCTGAGTTGGTCCAGTCCTGTTCCTACAGAGGGGACAGCACTGGGAAGCTGTGCTCAGGTGGTGGCACTGCTCTCTGCATCCCAGACTTGCTCAGTGTTCTTTGAAGATGTGTCAGATAAGATGTGCTTTTTAACACTCAGCCAACAGTTGTTATTTTCACACAGCAAAGAGAAACATTACAGCGTGTGCTTTAGGTGTGGATTTTACTGCTGCCTTCCAACACGTGAGTGACACATTCTTATTCAACTAGCACTAAGGAACCTTGCTAGAAAAAGGGAATGAATTTAACAGTTTGCTTTTGCTCTTCTCAAAGAGTGAAAAATTTCTACCTCCAAAATCATTCTGTCCCTTTTTCCCTTCTTGTGAAGCAGTTTTAAGGGAGTTAGGACCAGTTTTGGTTTGAAGAACACGCAGCAGAAGCTGAACGTGGAAGCTTAGTGGTCTTTTTTAGCGTACTGGTTTTATTTATTTTTAAATCTGTAATGTTTGAGGATCTGGAAGGCATTTCATAATGATGACTCAAATCCTGTCAGCTTATAAGCAAGTTAATAGGACTGCTTCATCACTTCTGCAGCTTACACCACCAGCGTTGTCCCTTTGGCTTCCTAGCCTGAAACAGATCACTACAGTGTTAAATATGATTAAAACTGGCACAAAACTATGGTATTTGGACCACGAGCATTACCATGAGGGAGGCTGAGTATTAAAACCCAACATTGTTTAGTCAAGTCTATCCAGGCCCTCAGAGCGGATCCTGGGTGACTTTGACTCAGCGCTCGGAGTTACCCGGGACTGGTTCAGTGGGAACAGGGCCGTTGCACAAGGTTAGAAAGAACAGGTTTATTAAGATGGGGGTGGCACATTAACAGCCTCCCCACGTCAGCCTTGCCACGTGGTCAGTTTTCTGCTTGCTGGGCTTTATGAAGCCCAAGAGCTCCAGTTCGGAAACAGCTCGGATAAAACGAGCGCTGGACGCGTCAGTAAAGGAAACTGAGGATGATTTTTATGACACTCGCTGAGGGAGACACCGTTCTCCCTCGGAGGGGAAGATTTCTAGGTCACAATAAGCACAGATGACACAAAATGCTGTGTTAAACACTAAAATTGTTGCAAATAAGGGCAGAGCAAATCTTCAACCTAATCGGTATTTCTCTAGCTACGTGCGTACAGTGTGGCAACAAAGGCAGTTCTTTTCCCTGCTGCTAGGAGAAGCTTAAAGCCAACAAGATACCCATTTTGTAGTCTCTCAGAAGAAAGAATTTATACTTTCATCCCCCATGACAAAAAAAAAATGGGAAGATAGATAATTACAGAGAGGTTTTTTTGAGGTTTCATTAAACAGCATCACTTTTTCCTTACTAATGTTTCTTGCTGCCTTCCTGACACACAGCTTGCTCTCTCTATATATATCCTTCAGTTAAATAGAGAACTTGGTTTTGTATTACCAGTGAAGCTTGTAAAAAAGGAAAAGCCTTACAATAAAGGAGAGCTAGGTGTAGTATTGGAGCATGTAGATATTCCTCCTGTAGTTAGGCCTCCTTTTGTACAACTATTCATCTCTTCTCTGTGGCAGCACGACTGCTGTAGCCATGAGTTTTGGTTCTAATGCTCATCCTTCAAATATTTTGCAGACCTCACTTCAGGACAAAACCAGAAACAGAATGTTTTATGGGGTCCAAAGTTCTCAGCTCTGAGGTCCTAGAACTTGTCCCTTCTACACAGCCACCACTTTTGTAAGCATTTCCTCTGCTGATGCTTCCATCTTCCTCATAACAAACTACCCTACTGCTCTCTAGGTCACAGCTCCCCTGTCATCTGTTCCCCAGGAATGCTCTATCCCCTAGAGAGCAGCTGCACAGAGTCTCAGATGATTTAACCAAGTAGAATAGATTCAGCTTGTTTCAGGGACTGTTGGTTCTGTTTGAGACCCAAACAGCTCCTATGGACAAAAGCCACCTCCAGCCCAACTACTTCAGCTGACCTATTTCTGTGACATTTTCAGTATCTTAAAAGGCTGTTTAAACTAGTCGTATTTTTTTTTTTAATTAGTTATCAGTGCAGCTGAAGCTTTGTTCTTTAAAATCCTGGTTCATTAATCCTGTAAGGGTTTGAATGTCAAACCTGATAGAAATAAGAAAGGATACTGGATAACATCATCCACCTGGTCTGAGGAAGCTGCATCTGCGTTGGGTCCCTCAGCTGCCATCACCACGGTTGAGAAAGCCTAGAAAGGGAAAAGCAGCACAGATTTAACACGTCAGGGACAGACAGAGCTGCACATAAAATGCTGAGCTGCCAGGTGATGGCTGTCACTTGGGAGGGATGAGGTGGTGGAATGGTAACTCCGGGAGAATGTCAGTTCAGCAGCGAGCAAAAGTGCGAGCGAGGTTACATATTGCTATGGCAGGAATGGAGAATGAAAGACATCACTCCAGGAACTCGTGTGCCTGCATTTTAAATCCCAATACAGTTCTGGTCCCTGACTCACTCTCAGAAAAAGTACAGAACTGAAAAACATTCTGGAAAAACAAAAAGGGGGAGTTGGCTGTGAAGAAACCTACGAAACCGAGGGACAGCAAGAGCCTGGGTAGGAATCTTCTGTCCACTTTTATTTCCAATACACAAACGAGGCAGCAGCAAACAAAACATACTCCAAACAAGGTAACAGGAGTGTCCTCTGTGCTGCATGGAGTTGAGCTACTGAATTTCTTGCCAGAGGATGCTGTAGGTGCTAAAAAGTGATATTGGTAACATAATCCAGGTGGGCTTACAAAAACCAGATAAACTGTTCCAGCACAGGGAACTTTAGAGCTAAAACATAACTGTTAGCTATGGAGTTTTGGAGAAGGTATCATAGCTGCCTGGCAGAAAGGACCTGGGGGTGCTGGTCAACTCTGAGCTGAACATGAGCCACCGGTGTGGTCAAGGTGGCCAACAGCATCCTGGCCTGTATCAGGAACAGTGTGGTGAGTAGGACTTGGGAGGTGATGGTACCCCTGTACTGGGCACTGGTGAGGCCCCACCTCGAGTGCTGTGTCCAGTTTTGGGCTCCTTCCCACCAAAAAGACATTGAGGTGTTGGAGTGTGTCCAGAGAAGGGCAACGGAGCTGGTGAGGGGTCTGGAGAACAAGTCTTACAAGGAGAGGCTGAGGGAGGTGGGGGTGTTCAGCCTGGAGAAGAGGAGGCTGAGGGGAGACCTTCTTGCTCTCTACAACTCCCTGAAAGGAGGGTGTAGAGAGGTGGGGGTCGGTCTCCCAAGTCACAAGCAATAGGACAAGAGAAATGGCCTCAAGTTGCACCAGGGGAGGTTCAGGTTGGATATTAAGAAAAATTTTTACACGAAAAGGGTTATTAAGCCTTGGAATGGGCTGCCCAGGGAAGTGGCTGAGGCACCATCCCTGGAGGTATTTAAAAGATGGGTTGACATGGTGCTTAGTGACATGGTTTAGTGATGGCTTTTATCAGAGTTAGATTGATGGTTGGACCAGATGATCTTAAAGGTCCCTTCCAACCTTGACAATTCTATGATTCTATAGTAATGTATGGTTTCTTCTTATACTCTCTCTGTTTTGGTCCCAGTGTGGAACCTTTGCTCTTCCCCTGCATAAGGATTCTCTCCAAGAATCCCACACTCACCCAGCAGCAGCACTTGCCCGTTCCCATAAAAGCAACACAGAACACTTCAAAGGTGGTGGGGAGGGGAAGGCAACTTTGTGAAGCATAAAATCTGATCTCTGCCAAGCATAAAATAGAAGCAGAAGCAGAAGATTTTCATCACAGAGTAACGATGCTGGAAATGAATGATTCACAGTAGTCAGAGGAAGACTGTGACTGGAGTTACTGTGTGTTCTTGCAGAGGAGGGACCGAGGTGGGCAAGGATTGAAGCTGTCAAACAGGGGCACTGAAGACAAGCAGATGTGCAGCAAAAAGATAAATGAGAAGACTGAAAGCAGGTAAAGGCACCGTTTGCATTGTCACATACCTCTAACCAATCCATGAGATTAATCAATCTGCCACACTCCAAATGAAGCTTATAGACTATGCAGATGTCAGGCACCTTATTAGAGATGCTTCCTCCATCGCTTTTCAAAGCTTGATTCTGATAAAAAAAAAAAGAGGTAGTAACTTCCATCAGTTTTTAACCTTGAACTATTTTCAGGGCTAGATATTATTTCAGAAAATTCACGTTAGGTATTTTAACCAAATGCTTACTGTTTGTGTAAATTGCAAGTTGATGCTACAAAGAGAAAAACCAAAACCCAAATCCTCAGGAAAATAAAATCCATAAAAAAAACCACCCAGCTACTTCACTCCTGGTCCTTCTACAATTTTGTAGGATTTATACAGTCTCTGCTTAAACAAATGATTACCTGATTAGGCTTTTCCCCAATTTTTTTGCTAGTTCTATTTACATATCAGAGAGAAACACTCTCTTCTGTGGATTCAGGAAAAGCAAGTAGTCACAATTTGCCTCAGACCACACTGTGTAGAAAACAGAAAAGTGTCCCTTCCCCCCAAAAGGAAAGAGGAAGTCTCAGTATAGATCTGTCAGATGTACTAAAAAGCAAAATTGCTTCTTTCATCTCAGAGTTTTATCTCTGAAATGTAGCAATCATTTTCCTCTGGCTTGAAACTCGGCACCTATAAAGGGCAAAAATCTGATTTCTCACCAACTGTATGTCAGGAAATTCAGGTCATTGGCACTGAACCATTCACTTGCGAAGTAAAAAAGCCACTTGAGGCAGAGGCAAAGGTCTCTAGAGCTGCAGCACTTTACAACATTTCATATCGGTTCATGATTTTTTTTCCCCCCAGTTTTCAGTTTCATGCACTCTAAGAAGCCAGCTCTCTTAACGTGAAAACAACCACTGACCATTCCTTGCAGTTCATGGGATTTTTTTGCTAAAACTGCATTTTTTTACTAGCTTTTATACGCTCATAAAATATGCAGGTTACTTTTGGAAAGTCTATAAAGCCCCAGGAATGATACCTTCATAAATAAATACTTTTCAAGATAGGAAAGGAAGTTGGACAAAGAATATAACTCTACTTAAGAATCTCTCGTTTGTCTCCCATAGGTCTCAATCCCTGCAATTTGTGAGACCAATTCAGTTTGGGCTCTAGCACTTACGAGACATTTCACAATTCCCAGAAAGCCTAACGATTTTCGAGTTTATTTCTTCTGTACGAGGAACTCAAAAGCTGCAGACATTTAGTTTAATGTCTGTCAGTTCAGTCCAGATGGTCTCCAGATAAATTCAGAGTAACGTGCCTAAACCTTCCAGATGTTACAATCCAGACGCTAATTTGCCAGACTGTAATTCAGGATTTTACCAGAGTAGTTTCAAATAATAGAACTGTGTTACTAACTGGCACAGGTGGAGGTACCACCTCCTGCCTGATCCAGTGGCTCCCCACTGCACGGAGGGATAACCCCATGCCTTTCTCTTTTACCCTTTGGTCCCCTAGGGCTTCCTACCACTTGCCCATGTGCTGACTCTGGCGTTGCTGGACACTCAGCAGTGATTTTCTAATCTTAGAGCCAGAAGAGTTATCACAAAGAAGGGAGGAGGGAACTTCTAGAGCAACTGTACTCTCCAGAAAGAGGTTATCCGTAGAAATTAATAATTAGCTGGACAACATGTAAGTGCCGAAAATGATCCAGGAAAAATATTAATGGTAATATTATATGGAGGGTCAACAGTTTTAAACTGAAAGAGGGAAGATTTAGATGAGATATTGGGAAGAAATTCTTTCCTGTGAGGGTGGTGAGACACTGGAACAGGTTGCCCAGAGAAGCTGTGGCTGCCCCATCCCTGGAGGGGTTCAAGGCCAGGCTGGATGGGGCTTGGAGCAACCTGGTCTGGTGGGAGGTGTCCCTGCCAGAATTCAGCCTCATTTGTGATAATTAGGCTGTGGCAGGAGGGAGCTGCAGCTGCGTGTGGGGAACCTCAGCTTCCTGAGGCGACAGCAGATGCGTCGGGCCCCGGAGGAAATAACCAGCCTGACAAGCAGGAAGCTGCCCCAGCACCAGCAGCCAGTTGAGAAACCTCCTGTACAGCACAGAGGTCCTGTTTCAGAAAGAAGAGCCTGGGAACAACCCAGGACACCACTGATGAGGGGCTCCTCTTGCCTGACCCTGTCCCCAGAGTCCTAGACAGGGGACAGACTCGTATCGTGCTCTGGAATCAACTATTGCTACTCTTCCAAGCTACAACTTGTTGAATTTTCAAGGGATCAGTGAAAAGAGAATTACACTTTTTTGTTGCTTTTCTTTTTTTTTTTTTTTCTTGAGGATAAGTATGACCCTTGTTTCATGCTCTGCTAAATAAACAACTGGAGTGGATTCCTGTAAGAAATGCATTGCATATTAATCATTTGCTGGGACTCCACTGAAGCACATCCTTTGCTGTCCTAGGCTCCTGGAAGGAACAGCTCTGGAGAACTTTGCTCTGGTCACAGCCCAGGAAAGTACAAGCCAATGCAGAAGTCATGGATACAACTAAGAAAAAAATACTTCTTTGACTCACAGGGATTAAAATGCCAAGCGAGGTACTTGGCCAACACTGCTGCTGTTAGAAACAACGCCACACCTTCACAGTCTACTCAGAAAACATCAGAAATACGTTAAAGTATGTCAAAGAACAAAGTGCAGGATGACAGAGGGCTTTAAATCCCGTCAGCTCATCAAAGAGAATACTTACTAAGCACATCAGCATTTTGCTGTCTCTCCTAACCAATATTCTTACAGATTTGCTAAAAATATAAATTACTGAGGGTCATATTAGGCCTCCTCAATGGGAGCCCACTGGCTACTGTTTTCACAAATAAACTCTAAGTGGTTTTAGAAATAACTCCTGCACACAGCAGAACTGACAACCCTCCCTCAAATAGAGGCAGGAGGCCAACAAACCCAACACGAATTGGGCTGTAGATTTCAAAGACTGATCTTTATCAAGTTTGATTCCTGATAAGTGTTGGCTTGGACTCAAGTAACACAGAATCACTCAGACACAGCTACAATCAAGGTTTTCTTCAGAACTGTAATCACGTTTTTAAAGGGAAATGTTAGGGCATGAGGATAACTCCAAGAAGCATCTATAACCAAGGACAAAACAGTGAAATGTATGTTCACTCCTTTTTCCAAATCATGCTCTATTTCTTTCTTTTGGTCATCCCATGAGTTCCATTTATGAAAGAAGTGGAAAAGGGGCTGCTTTTCTTCTCTAGAAAAGGGCAGGATTAACTAATAGAATCAATGACAAACCCTTTCTTGGACTTGGAAAAGATACGATTTCAACACACAATAGATAGCAAAATAGATGGGAAAAGGAAAAGAAAGGACTCCTTTAAATATGCTGTATTTAAGCTATTGTTAATGTCATCTCTCCACCTGAACAGAACCTTCACCTCACAGCAAGTCTACACGGTGAGGACTAAGCACTAACTCTGTAAAGAAAGCCTCTAGAAAGAGCCACAGACCCTGTATTATTTTTCCCCATGGACATTACAAGTGTCATTCCATTTGTAATGGGTGACAAAAGGACTTTTCTGCTACGCCTACAAGAGAAATTGAAAATCATGATCCAGAACAGGCTCTGGAAAATGGATTCCCCACATAGAACTCTTTCCATAATTAGCTGCTTTATTTCAGCCAGACGGGTTCCTTAGCTCTTTGCAAAGTCCCCGGTTCTTATCAACACCAGCTTGTTGGTTCTCTGCAAAACAGCTGAACGCCTGCCAAGCTCCATGAAACAGCAAAACTCAAGCCTTTACACATCACCCTTACATGTAGCCTTCAGAAAGGGCTCCAGCACCACCACCAACCAGCTTGTTTCTTACCTTCAGGTACCAGTAGGGGTTATTTAAAGCCGTATGAAGCGCAATCCTCGGGGCAGCGTTGAGGTGCTCCCGGAGAACGCTGGCTGTGTTGAAATACACTATCTCGTGCAGAGTCTTGTGGTCTGCAGGAACAAGGTAATTTCTGAAAAAAGCCACATGAGGGAAACAACAGAAGTTTACTGCAGTCAGAGACTACAAGAATTTATGTTTCCCAACCAGAACTGACAAATCTCTGAGAAAACAAGATGAACGGCGCTGAAATCAAGTTACTTCCCTGCTTAAAAGTTATTATCAACTCTACATCTAATGGATTTAGGGTAGAACTCTGGCTGGGCCACTGCCAAATTAAAAACTAAGGGCAGCAGCTGAAAACTAAGGGTACCAGTCATGTACCCTACTCCACAGATCACACTTATCCATCTCCAGGCCTCCTGATGAGCCCCTGCTCACCTTTGTCTTCACAGTTGAAGCTTTTTTTCTTGGCACAGTCATACCGTTAGCTCCTCTGCCTCCCCCTCACCCCAAAGCTCTATAATTAAAAAGTGCCTTCACCTCTTGCCCCAGCCCAAGCCTTTCACATTTTCTGCTACAGACCTGCCTCCCAAACCCTATCTATCTGCTGGGACTTGCCCCCTGAAACGGTTCCCAAAATGGATAGGATATCACACTCTGCATCTGTACAGTTTCATAACTAGAACAGATCAGCAAAGATTAGGATAAAAACTCCTGACTTTATTTTACCACAAATACCCAGTCCTCCTCAACTTTTTTCTATAGCTAAAGTAAGTTGGTCAATTCATGTGCCAATTACTTCTAGTAATCCATGGAAAAGAGATTTATTTTTTTTTAAATAAAATATTATTTTTAGAGCCCTCAAAGAAAGAATAGGAAGGGAAAAAAAAAGTCTGCTTCATACTGTAAGGCCCTAGACATGATTTTGACAAGTCAGCAAAATTTCTGTTGGAAAACTACTGCAGGAAGATAAAAAGAGGAAAGCTCACCTTACGAGACTGTCTATATAGTCAACAACTTCAAAACGAAGCATTTCAAACTTTGTCAGTTTCTTAGACCTCCTCGATTCCTTCAACTCCAACAAGGTCTTTAAAAAAAAAAAAAAGTGATGCACAAAACTACATGGGGGGTAGTTATTTTCTGGAGAACACAATCTATGTGTTTTTACTTGCATGTCTTCACTGATGAGGTTTGAAAGTGTGATCGTGCAGTTATTTTTACTTAGGCCAGTATATTCAGTTCTCAAACTGGTAGGTGTTTGGGAAATTCAAAGAAATGTGTGTTAGTCAGAACATATAATTTGCAATTTAAATAAGAGGAAAACCCCTAATTTGCATTTTGAAATCCTAGTTTATGACAGATATTTTCTATAATTTTCTATGCCTCAGGTGGGTCTGATACACATAGTTGGTACTTAATCATTCGTTTTTAAGAAGGGTTACTTATACACAGCCTTTATGCAGAGCTCTGGGAAGAACTAACCATGGACTATTACATCTTAAACGATTCAGTGAAGGAACTAGTCAGCAAATCCTACTCAGGTCTGACCTTCTGAAGGTGATAAAGGTCTGTCTTCTTCTGGAGTTCCTTTTGTGACGACACGGACACATCTTGTTCTTGGAAAGCTTCTCCTTCTAGAACAAAACTAAAAGTTTGATACGTGGGGTAAACTTTTCCTGTCTACCTAAATAAACCCCCTAACCCAAGCAATCTGGTGTGTTTAGTTACTGGTTCACAGAGACCCAAACACAGGCAGCTTTTGGCTCTTGCACCTTGTAAAAGCTCGTTAACAAAGAAGTCTGCAGTGCAGATTAACCAACAACAATTAAGTAACCAAAGCGATTCCGCCCTGAGCGAAGATCCTTGCACATCACCTGAATTCTGCTTGTGTCAATCCAGGTCATACTCTCAACGTTTTTAAGTTGGACAGATTTAACACTAGATACTAATGATGCTTTAGGAGCATTCAAAAAGCCACACACTGCATATTTTTTCCTTCTCACGTGCAAAAAAAAAAACCCTAAGAAATGAGTTCTGCCTACTTAACTCAGAAACTGCAAGCAGAGCAGCAAACCAAGCGTGCCTTAGCATTGCCCAGCTATACTCTCATCTTCATTTATAACAAAATCTTGTTTTCAGAGCTATGTAGTTTCTTGATCAATTGCACTCATAATTAGTAAATTTTTTTTTTTTTTTTTTTTTACAAAAAACAAAGAAGCAAAAACTCCAAAAGCGCAATCAATGCCAGGATGAGTGATAATTGAAATCAAAACAAAAGGTAGCTAGATTTCTTGCCTTACTTATGAAGATGGTAATAAAATGGAGATTCCACCTACAGATCACACGTAAAGCTCTAATCAGCCCAAACAATCATGAAATACAAAGCTTTTTGGTGACCTACATAGAACGAGCTGGTATTTTCCAGTGCCCTGTAGACATCTGTATTTCTGTTGAAGATTTCAAAGCAGAGAACTTCCTCTCTCCACTACTACACTGATATATTTTGAGATATTTTTGAATCAAATCCTTCAGCTCAAAATAGCCTGAACATAAAGATATTTTGTTTCCTCAAGCTTCATGTTTTTATTTTTTCCAGTTCATTAAGCAGTCAGGAAGATGGACTTGGTTGTTGTTAAAAAAATTTTGGACTATCCTTTCACTCTAAGGGCTCTGTGGGAGATTTGGGCACATAACATTTCTGGCAGACTTCTAAAAACTCCTGCTGAAGATCAAAACTATCACAGAAACATACAGGAAGTCACCTAACTCAGCAATCTATTCATGTTAACTTTATCTTAACTTCCCCTTCTCTCATTTTCATTATATCTTAAATTCACTCTGAAAACAAAGATCATTCATAGATTCATGAGACTTTCTCTGCTTTAAAAACATCTTGAAATCCTCACTGAAAATAAATACAGCCTTTTTTTTTTTGTTTTATAGTTCTGCGTGTCCTTGAATTCCCAGAGTTGTTCTTTTTTATTTATTCCCTAAAAGTCAAAATCCAACTTCTTCAAAGCCCTTTGATTCAATTCTTTTTTTTCTTTTTTTTTTTCCAAACTAGATGAACCTTTAGGTTTTCCATCACAGTTCAGAACCTTCAGTGCTGGTATCTTCAGCTTTTTCCAAGTGATCACCTCTTTTCCTGTCCCACAGCCCTGCTATTATTACATCTATTCAAAAATACATGGTACAGGCAAGAGCCAGTTCTTCTAAACAAGCCTCAGTTAATCCTAGAGCGTTCCATGATGGAGTAAGTTAATATTAGCCTGCATTTGGTGGTTTACTGCCTACTTGTCAAAATGCTGGGTAGTAACCACACTGATAATTTCACTGAATTTCACTGAATTTTTAGAGCTGGAAGGGACCATAGAGATCATCTAGTCCAACTCCCCTGCCAAAGCAGGACCACCCAGAGCTTGTCAGAGCATGTTACTCAGGAGCATCCAGGTGGGTCTTGAAAATCTCCAAAGAAGGGGACTCCACACCCTCCCTGGGCAGCCTGTTCCAGGGCTCTGCCACCCTCACCGTGAAAAAGTTCTTCCTCATATTCAAGTGGAACCCCTATAATAAACTTAATATGCATAAAACAGACCAGATGATGACCACTTCATCTTCAAAAGGGAATCACAGGGGAGCCCTTCTCCGTAGTTCAGGGGAAGCAAGGAAATTCCTATTCCAGAGGAATGCTGGAGTATGTCATATTGCTATTTCAGAAGGAACAGGGCAGTTTCTGTTATCCTGCCTCCAAAAGAGGGAAGGCTTCTACTCCTTTGCTTTATTAAACTCTCAAATATGTCCTCTGCCATGAGCAATCCAATATATGGGCCTGACAAGTTAGAGCATGTCAGCAGCAGAGCCCTGACAACTGGCACTGCGTGTCCTAGCCCTCAGAGGAATTTAACTGAAGGCGCTGGTGAAAGAACTCTCTATATAATTTGGATTAAATACCACGTCATAAGGAAGTCTGCTCCTATTTATCTTTCAATATCTGTTTTTATTTGTTAAATGTTGTTAATGATTGCAACATCCGGTAAGAGGCTCAAAATAAACCTATGACAGATTTAGCGAGTAATGTTTGCTGATCTCTCCAATTTCTTATCTTGCATCGCTCTCCCCTGTTACAAAAAGCATGAACCACATGCCAATAGAGAACACAAACATTTCCTAATTTTATGTATGTATTTAAAAAACAATCCTGAAAAATCTGACAGTTTAATACAATGACCAGGGAAAATGATACCCACTGGTGAGACTGTAAAACAGCTTAAATTATAATCTGCAATGGAATGTATGATTGCACACACCCACCTTCTAGTTTCTGAAACTGGGTCAAGAACTCCTTCAACTTCTCTACTGTCTTATCAAACTCCTTTCCAGAAGATGACACAAAAATTTCCACACATTGTTGAAGCATGGTTACCAAATCAGACTTATTCAACATCCTAAAAGACACAATTGTTGGCTGAAGTTGAAACGCAGAATGATGAAACAGATTTCAATGTTTAGTTCAATGGGGAAAAAAAAAAAAAGATAAAAAATAATTTGAAAAACTCCTTTTAAAAGAGAAAGCCTGTAAGATTTCAAGCCATTCAGGCTTGCAGTACAGTTATTTTTTTTTTCTTTGTTGTCATTAATAGAAAGAAACAAATCAAATTGGATAGATGTCCCTCACATTTTCCTGCAGAACTGACAATGAAAGCTTTTCTGAAAATCTCTGAGTCAGCTAAAAAGAAAAAAAAAAGTATGGTAGAGTTCGTAACTCATGCCCAAGAATGGGAAATGAAATGGTAAAAAAATATCAGATTAGCATGTATCCACACATCCACAAAATCCATTATTCTCTGTGATTCAGAAGGATTCTCAAACAAAATCTTAATTGCTATTTTCTGTATTTAATTGTTATAAACCCAACAACCACTAGAATCCCAAAATCATTTAGGCTGGAAGGAACCTCTTGAGACCACCCGGCCAAACCTCCAGCCCAGCATTTACTTTTAATTACGTATTAGGGCATTTTGTAAGTGTCCCCACGCACTGCTCAGCCTCAGAATCTGCATTTAAAAAGATGTCAAAAGCAAATCCTTGCAAATCTCCATAAATGAAACCCAGAACTGCAGTCATTGCATCAAGCCAGTGCCATGACACATGCATGTAAGCTTTTTTTCTTAATGCAGTGTGAGTTTCCCATTGCTAAACACCCTGGTCCTGAACAATCACACGTGTGTCACACCCGCCGGGACTAGGAGCCCTTCCCAGTCTAGTCTTGTGGTTTTGCTTTGCATTATACAACACAAAGATGCTAATACAAAAAATACAAAACAAAAGGTGTCATTAGTTTAAGGATTTTAGAAGACACAGAAAGCAGAAATGCACAAAAAAGGCAGCATGACAAAAGAATCAAAAGATGGTGATTGGTGCATCAGGCAGTGGGTCTCCGTATCAGATCCCTAAATGGTGACTGAGATAGTTTTAAGGAAGAAATTAGAAGAAGCTGGTGAAGCTTTATGGATTTTTGGAGAGGGAACTGCAACTTAAGCTCTAGCTTCTAACTGGCAGTCGACTCTAAATGCTTATAAAGCCTAGAATTTGAAATTTCAGTTTATCTGATTCAGGGTTATGGATTTTTTTAATGGATGTCAGGTGTTGCCTTCAGAAACACTCGCTTTGTACAGACAAGCGTTAGGAGTTAACAACAGAAAGGCTGACCTTGACCACACAAAAAGGCTAGAAAACATTCTGAAACAGCCTTGTAGAATATAATGGGTAAACAAGACAGCCTTCTTCCAGGGCAGAGAAAATACCGCAATAATTAAACACTTAAGATGAAGAGAGGATAACCAGATTTGGACATCTGTGAATGGGAAAGAACACATTTATTTCAGTCAGATTACTCAAAAAGAAGATGCAAGTTCTAGAAAAACTTGGGGGGGGTTACAGGACCCAAAGAACAGGCAAGAGGATGGTTATTACATATCAGGAAACAGGAAAGGATCCCTTTCAACACTTTGGGTTTGAGCTTACTGCAAGGTATGCCAGATATCAGAGTAGGGTTACGATTTTAATTCAGTTAGGAGACGAGCTTAAAGCAGAGATCTTAAAGATCTCAGATCATCCAGTGACAGTAAATAAATATATCTCTGATTATTCAGGAACAGGTTATGAAAGAGAAGAAAGGAAGCCAGGATGAAGTCCATAAAAACGCCTCCTGAATGCTGAAGCGGGAAATTATCTGAAGAAGTGATGACAGAGATTGGTCAACAACAAAACCACAACAGTCACGTCAGGACAGGACTGTGAGAAGCAGTATGTGGTGAATGGCATCAGTGATTAGCAGACAAAACCAGAGCACAGTATCTAGGCAGAAGACAGTCAGACAGTCCTCAAAGTTTGGCCACCTAAAAGCTTGACCAGATGTCCCAGCCAGTCAACTCCCCGTAACCAACCAAGTGAGACATTCTCCAACATCTCTTCATCTTCTCTCTCTTCTGACTGGATTCATCCACTCTGAACTAAAGCTCACACGCTCTCCCTGTCTCCCCATAATACTTTTTAGACCCTAGACAACTAGATTAAATCAGAGTAACTATCATCTAAATTGTGTGTTCAAGTTAGATCACTTGAAACACCATCTTCATAGCACTTTCAGCAGAAGGGATAAAAGCCAGTGCAAGGAAAGGCTGAAGTAGAGAAAGAACAAACCAACCACAGAAGAAACTCGATGCAAGAGTTTCAGAAGAAACTGAAAACCCCACATTCAAACATAATTCATGAAGGGCAAGAGATTTTGTAAAAAATTGAAAAATAAGCTGATCAAAAGCATCTCTATTTTTTACTTTCTAAATACAAAGGAAAAAATCACGGAGTCTAGAAAAACATTGAATAGAATAATAAGGGATGGGAAAGGGCAAATGTAAGAATATCAACAGGTGATATGGCCACTGGGAAGGCAGAGATATTAAGGAACAGCGAATAACTTCCATACCTGAGCAAAGGGGAAAAAACAGAAAATTGTGAGTAGAAGGGGAAAGATCACATTTTATCATTTTCTTCTAAAAGACAGCAGCCAGACTCTATGCAGAAAAAGCAGAGAGAAGAGAAAGCAGATGTAAAATGGAAAAGAGAGTTAAAGAAAAAGTTAAAAGCTGAAAAAATAACAATCACAGCTGGAATTCCAAGTATTTGAAGGAATCGTGTTGAAGGAGCTTTGTTAGAAAAATGACAGAATTCCTTTAGGAACAAAACAAAACAAAGAAACAAAAAAAGAAAAACCGAAAGAAGAAGAATTATCTATGAAAGGAATGACCATGACCACTGTATTTCTATCAGGAGCTCTCACAGTGGAAGACAGAACCAGAGAAAAAGCAGGAGGGAGGTGAACAGATAAGAATAAAGGGAAAACAAGCCAGAATCTAACAGCAGCATCAGCTTTGAGACAGGAGAAGAGGCAGATGAATTCAGAGTGGAAGAAAGCAAATTAAACACAGGAGGAGAAAAAGGAGAGGAAGAAATGGCCAAGAGCTCTTAGAGAATACAGAACAGACAGTATAGAAAAGCAAAATGACACATTTGTGGGCAAGGGCTGAGAGGTGATTGAGTGCTGTCAAGATTCAGGAGAATCAGAGAAGAATTAAGAAGGCAAGACACATCAAGCATATAATCCTTTCAGAGGGATGAGGGTAAAGAACACCGTGCAGCGGTGATGCACAAGAACCACTGGGTATGGCAAAGGTATGGTTTGAAGAGTATGTTTCCTTGGGTACATGAGCCCAGAAAGTTATCCTCCATCCACCACTGGCAGGGTTTTTCTATGCAATTTTACTGTCAGACCCATCAAACCTCACAAGCTCAGAGGCTCTTGAAGAGGGATTTATGGTAGTGGTGTTGCAGCAGCTCTTTGTGTGACAGAAATGATGTATTATTTGAATACAGATACCAGGGAACAGCCACTTGCCAAGATGAAGCACCTTTAAAGGTCTGTAGCTGCAAAATTGCAGTTGAAGAGTCCTCTCTTTTAAGAAGATTTTGCTTAGATGATTTTCGCATTTTAAACACTGACAGACAACACAAGTGTAGGCTTCTCCTAAAGTCCTCAGCTCACAATAACACAAAAAACGTACTCAGTCCCTGTGCAAACTGACAAAGGAGGCAGGGAGAAATCAGTAAAATAAAAAAAAAACAAAACAACAAGAAAGGCCTCAGCTACTCATTTGGAACGGATTCTAATTCTCATGACAGATTAAAATTTAGGCCAACTAAAACTAATAATTTGGTTGATAATATCTTACACAATCATACTTTAAAAGACAAAACCTAACTGATGTTCTCATTGGCACACAGTAATCTCAGTGGTTTCAGCATAATGACTCAGGGCATAAGAGATACCAGACCCTGGCTGAGTTTCACGTAAAACAGTAGAAAGACAAAATGGAAACAGCAGTAAATTATACTTGCAAACAATCCTAAAACTAGCTGTGAAAGGGTAATAGCCTCAGCTTTAAGTTCCAGAGTAACCGATGACTGATATTCTCCATGTGTACAATAGTATGAAAACAAAATGGGGAAAAAAAAAAAATAATCACCTTGCTAGCTGAAGAGATGACTCATACTCCTCTGTCTCCCACACTTGGTTTTCCAAACATGCACAGTGCAGCTCCCTGATCTGTTATGCAGAAGGTGAAGAAAGGATGAAGTGTTTTACAAACAAAGTAATGCGGAACTCTTACAACAAGCTTTCCAAAGTCATATCTAATTCCTTTGGAGCTTGTTTTCCAGAGATGCACAATGATTGCAAAAGAAATGAGAGCATTTAGTGTCTTGCAGAACTAAGCTCCTAGTGTTGCTGGAGTCTGTGTGTTGCTCTGCACCAGGTTTCAAACAACTCACATTCAGATGAAGATAACTGCAGAGAACAAAGATGAACTCCAATCAAACGTCCCAGCTAAAGCATCTGTTTATTCGCTAATGCTGGGACAGTTCATGCTGATTTTGTAGTTAGGGACAGATCTAATAACAGTGTGGAATACACTGAGAACTGACAGACAAGTGCACATGCACAGAATACATTGCTCTTCTCGTGGAAGAAGAAATTGCTCAGCATGAGAAGGTGGATTTAATGACATTAGAGCCATACGGCTATTAAGAGCAATTATCACTGTTCCCTTACTATAATTTTATTCTGGAGAGAAGGTTGCTAAAACTCAATCTCTTTATCTGAATTTGACTAGTGAGCTAATAGGTGGTAGAAGACTATACGTTGTTTGCAATGCATACAAATAATCCCCAATGTGTGGATTTTTTTGCTGATCTGTGCATCTGCCTCCTCCTGGAAACCCCCTCCTGTCGACAGACAAGGTATCATCCATTTCTTTCATGCCATGAAAGAAACCACATGCTGTTGCCCCCTGCCCATAGCAAGAAAGCATCTGTCTCCATTTTAAGAAGTAGGGGGCAAAGCAGCAGAACAGCAAAACAAAGAGAAATAATAAACACTTCTTCAGATGTCATACTTTGAAAAACAAAAAAAGACATGTTTCACTGAAATGGAATAACAGTACGTCACCTGCTTGCCCAAAGGATACTTCGGAAGAGAAGATGTGAAAACATGAAGGCATCTCAGAACTGAAACATAATTTTCATGGTAAACATGCAAGTCCTCCAGCAACTTCTGTATTATTTCCTACAGTGACAGAATAATTGTTTTATAAATCATTCCGACATCTGTTTATTTAAAACTCCCATAAGGTACTTAAAACAGGTCTGAAATTTTGACACTGTGGTATGCTATGATTTAAATCACCAGTGGTAAATTAAGACCACTATGCAAAAAAGTTGTATTTCAACAGTTCACTAGAATCACAGTGCATATTGTTAACTTTACTTTCTTCATCCATCTCACTGGGGAATTGTTATTAATTAGCATTATTATTTTACCATTTTCAACTATATTTAGCTTTTACATCTAGTATGTAATCTTGCAAAAACAAGGCTATATAGTATACCTTCAATATGTAAAGAGAAATTATATAGCTTCTTTTACCCTTATCATTATTTCCATTTTAAAATTTTACACACAAGTTTGTATTTTAATTCTAAGCAGAATCATTAAAAATAGATCCCCACCTCAAAAAAAGCTAAGAAAACAAGTTCTAATGCTGCTACATTGCTCTTATTCCCCCAAACCCACAGCATTACAGCATCTGTACTTCCCTCATCTTGTTTCCCAGCTCAAGACTGATGTAACTATTATACATAAATAGCAATGCAGTAGGACTACGTATTTTGCCAAATAATGGAGTGAAAAAGGTGCATCTTCATTTAGAAGTTTGAAAGCATTATTACAAGACTATGCAGTGTTATTTCCATAAATATATATCGCCACGTTTACATAATTTCAAATGAAATTTGCCATGAAACCTTTCAGACAGAGCTGTAAGTAATTAGGATGTAAAACTGCTTTCAAAACTGCTTATTTGAAATAGGTGGAACTCTTCCCATAGTTATTTAAAAAAAGTGGTAACAGCAGGGAATATAAATTGCAGCTGACAAAGGGTATTGCAGGTTTGAGTGCTAAGCTTGAACAGCAAGTTGAACAGCAGTAAGAGTCCTACCCCTACCGTAGAGATTAGAACAAGTGTCTTCAGTTTAAATTTGTCAGAAGCACCTTGCACATAAGCACAAGAAATCCAGCTTCTTTCCCAAACTTACAGGGTGAGGTTTGTGAAATAAGGGGTGTATTATTAAACATATACAATTTAAAACATACAGCATTTAAGCTGATGAGTATTCAGCGTTCAAAGTAGCAGCCCATTACATGGTCTTTAAATTTGAAACAAATAGAGTCTCAGGCTGCTCAGTCCTACTCCACTCTTCCTCCTATTGTTTCAGGAGAAGCATTTATGCACCTGCAGAGTGAACCCCATTGGGGAAATCATTCTGCAGAAACAACTCAGCAAAAAGAATTCCATGCCTTGGTTTTTTGGTTGGTTTTTTTTTTTTGGTCAGGTTACCTTAATTGGATTGTTTCTCTGATGACATCGATTGCGCAGCCACACAAGCAGTTGTGCTGGCACATCTGCTGAGGCAGGAATAAACAGCAATGGAATAGCAGTAGCTTAAGCTATTTTTGCCACTGAAAAGTATGGATCATAAAATCACGTATAAATCACGTCTTGATTAGTATAATTGCACTGCACTTGCAAACTTGCCTGCTCCCAGCCTCTCTTCCTGCCATTACCATTGTTCTTGGAAAGTCCTTACAGACCAGGAAGCTCAGTGAGGATAAATTGCTTTATCTCTAGTAGCACCATTTGCCTTACAGGTTTAGCTGTACCTGAGATGAAAAGTCAGGAGAAACCTTTCACCCTGAGCAATGCTTCTACAGGGAGTGGTTCTACTGGTGAGAACAACCAACAGATCCTTGTTGGTGAATTCCTAAAGGGCTCACAAGAGTAGCAGCCTGACTTTCGTCACTTGACCAACCTTCAGATAAATGTGTAACATAAAAATTCAAGTTTTAATCCTCTATGACAGACATCTAGTGTGAATGTGTGCCCTGGGACCCAGACTGACCTACCAAGTTTGAGCAGAAACTACACAGAGAGTATGGAGGATTAAGAGCTTATGAAATAACCTCTAAGATTACTTACTCATTATTCAAACGCTTCACTGACTTTCCAAGAAGTGGACTTCCAAGTCTGAGTAAGCATTAAAAGGCCAGGCAATAAAAAAACCTTTCAACCTTCTTTTTAAGCAGTTGTAGTTTCTAGACGTCGCTAAAAATTGATGTAAGAAAAGTTGTGCAGCTTTGTATAAAGGTATACCTGGCAACCCTAGAGATTTGGAATCTTGACCTGCCAATTCTAATTATTCATTTCTGGACATAAAGCACAGTATGTACTGTATAAAAGATATTATATAGAACTATACATCTTAGTTTCTTATTTTATTATGCTCCACAAGCTAATAATATTGGGAAAGTTATTTTTGCTTGATGTTCTTAAAATTTTACCTTTAAGTAGCTGTCTGTTGTCAGCAGTGCAATCTGTTTCTCCGATGCTTGACTTTCCACATACCTGATGGCAAGACAAGACAAGAACATAAAAATTATAAAGTGTGATTAAAGCTTATGGGGTTAAAAAATTCAAAAAGTTCATGTTGCTATAAGGATTTCTTTGGAAAGATTCAAAAAGGAACAGTCAAATCCAACAAACTGAAAGGCCACTCCGAAACCCTAGAGATTATGCTCCAATAACAAGTTCAAAATTGATTTATGGTTATTTGTCATAATAACTTGTTTCTGTATTAAGAACAAGAGAGGAAAAAAAGAAGTTCAAGTGCTTACACATCACAGAAGCTGTACTCTCTAGACCAGAAGATTAAGGAGTCCTGAAATTATTTAGAACTGTCCTGCTTTTGATCGATTTACCTTTGGTATAGAAATATAAGCACAAGTGATCTACAGTTTTCACGGAGCTACATTTACAGATTCCTTTTATCTTTTTTAAAGCTGACTAAATGCAAGATTGTCCAAAAATTTATTTCCCCTTTTACCTTCTAAAAGAGGGCAGTCTTCGAATGTTTTCACACTGATTGTGTGATAAAGAATTTACTCTATTCTTAGCATCTACCAGCTGGCAACACAGTATACTAAGAGGCTGAGTGTAGAAGTGCTCCACAACAGACAGCTGAAAAACAAAGCAAGAATCAGTGATGTTAACAAAATTCATCCTCTCTGCTTTTAAGACTTTCTTATTACTACAGTGCATATGCTGCAATGGTAGTAATGGTATTCCTTTACCAAAAATTCATAAATATTCCATAGGTCATTACACTACTATTTAAAACTGATTATTCCGTTTTAAATAGTGTCACATAATTACCTTTTTTGCTGTATGAGCTATTCATACTCAGTACCTCATTTCTCCCCCCTCTCACATAACGATAACTACAGCTTGTCAAATATTTTCGATTCACTTATATAAATTACTGCATTCTTTAGGCTACATATTCAGCTCCAATGCTCACAAATAACAGAGCATGTTTAAAGATGTGAAAAGCAACTACTGCACAGAAGCAAACTTAGCCCGTGCCCTAATTTCAATTTCATGTGCACAAAACCACACTGCTAAACTCTTACAATCCATACGTAAAAACGTACTTTATCGCCAATTTCAGCTGCACTAAATGTTTGTAGCATCAGGACCTTCAGAATAGGAACAAATGCTCATCACATCTATTCTTAAAAACAAAACAAAAACCCAATCAAACAGATTACCTCACTAAAAACGTTTTAAAAACATAAAAACTGTCAAAGGGGAAACACAGTTCCTATCAGAAAAGTTAACATCACTCCTAGACATAAGGAGATGATGGTGACCCCTTGTATCTATGGCTTAGGAAATCCAACATGAAATTGCTTCATCCTTGAGTACTTTTAATGCACAAGGACACAGCAATATGCCATCAGGGCTAAGATTTGTATTTTTGTATCAGGGCAGTGGGGAGTTATTAAATCCTGGTGACTCTTTCAAATAAGAGGAGTTGAAACCTATGAAAGCCCATGTGGGTCTGTCTGTAGGAAGAGGTACTACAGCCACGGTATTTCTCCTGGCCACATGTAATCATTGAATCTTAGATATCAAAGAATCTGAGACACTCTAAAGGTATCTGACACCAAAAGGCCACGTTTTACTAACAGGTTCAATCATGGAACCAGGCAAGAAAGAAACAATTTCACAATCCTGCATTAAAACAGATTACAGGGACTGCAAGTTCTTTGGAGAATTTGTCTGCAATCCACAAGGAGACTCAGACCCGGAAATACTTCTAGAGATGAAGATCTATATAAGCCAATACAAATATAATTATCATGATCTGTACAGACTATTTTTGGAAACCTTGAAGTCTTCCACTTTGTCTCCTGAGAGAATGAATGTATCTCCTGCATTGCTGCATGGCTGCTTGAAGCACAAACATCACCTCCTCTGAGGCACAAAGCGACCCTACAGCTCCTATTATCCCTCAAAAGGTAAGAAGTCCGCACCCAGAACCGGTGCTAGAAGAGTTCAAGCAGGGAAGAGACACTGCTGCAGCCTCCTCACATCATGACAAGCCAGAGCACAAGGAACAGAAGATCAGAGCTGGAGAGTTCTGCCAGGGGTGTTAGAAGCTACAAGTCAATCTAGAGCAAAATACACATCTTTCTCCCCACTAAGGCAGGTTACCCTTTTAAATGCAACCTTTAAATACAGGGGTTTTTTTGTGGCAGAGTAAGCTTTTACATGCTTCTTTATACATCTCCTACAATGTTAGCAGGTAGGGTTTTAACTTTAAAACCTCCACCCGTTCACAGATCCAAACTGTTTCCAAAGGAAATGAATCCAATTCAGTGACAGCAAGATTAGGACCTAAGAAATCTGTCAGTGCCTAGTAATTACCCTTTGTTTTCACACCATAATTTGAGTTCTTGTTATCGTTGCCTACCTGAAATCCTTTGATAAAATTCTGGACAGAAAAATCATGGTACAAGAATATGTTGATGAGAACCTGCAGAACCTTCTCACCCAATTTAAAGGGGAACTGGGCCGTCAGAAGCAGCTAAAGGAAACAAAAAGAAAAATAGCCGTTTCAGGCAGAAATTCTTTCCTGAATTCAACTCAGCAAAATTCATACACAGAATTTGATACAACTCTCAGCCTGTGTTAGCATTCAACTAAAGGAGACACAAAATACACTGCCAACTTCTAAAACCAATATCCACGCAAAGACTGATTTTCAGTTTATTATTTCACCACATTTTTGTAAGTATCTTTTAGTAACATGCAATGTTTGAAGTCAGCTTTGCTTACAGTTACTTTTGTATTTATTTTTAAAATTGCAAACAACAGAACAGAGATTGCTGTAACAACCAGGGATACCACTATTTCCAGCCTGTATAACAGCAATTTGGGAAATGCTACACAAAGTAGTGTGTACAGACCATTTGGATAACTGCTCATTTTCTGACAGGCAGCAAAATTCAGGCTGAACTGAATATTTTTTTTTAATGTTTAAGGGTATATTTTTCCAGAACAAAGTAAAAGCACTACTTTAATGAAGAGGTGGAATGTCAAAGTCTAATTGCCTGAGTTCATACGCACAGATGTCAGTGCAAATGAAAGATGAAAAGCAAGTGTGTGAGTGTTTCAACGTGAGAAGAAAGCTCTCAGTATTAAGCTACTCGGCAGCTATGAGGAAAAATATCCAAAATCCATAGCTCTCAGGAATAACTTCTATTTGAAAAGCTTCAGATAAACCTAATTTTAAAGGTCATGGTGTACACCGTGCTTGAATATACACACACAAACACACACTCCTCCTTATTTAGGAAGGCAATTACCTTGTCAATTATAGTAGACAGGTGCTCCTTAGAGGAAAGGGACTGGAAAAGCTCTATGCACAGCAGAGAGGACACGGAATGAGGAAGCGAGCTGTGGATAATCATTGGAGATGTAGCGATTCCAAAAATCAGGATTAGAGGTAATTCGTGGATATGCTGACTAGATCATGGGAGAAGGGAGAAAAGAACCCAACATAATAGTTACATTAGAGAAAATCGTGAAATAAACGCATTATGTTCCTACTACAACACCGAGCTTAGATACAAAAAGGGGTGAATTAGAAGATTTGTTGCCAGTAAATCAAAAGAGTTTTAATGGGGAGTAAAACCAAAAAGAAAGGGAGCAATTTAAAGCCCTAAAGCAGAAAAGCAAATTGAATTATATTTTAGGATTCAAATTTCAGGAAGTGGCATAAAAAGCATCTTTTCAGTTAGAGTATTGTACTGGTCCTATCGTCCCAAAAAGTTATATTCAGAAAACTGAATCTTACAATATTTTTTTTTCAAAGAAATAGAAAATAAGAAGACACATTAAACAGCTAAGAGTCCCAAGAAAATTTACAAATTTTACACCATTTAATAAATTTAAAATAAACATGAAACCCCTCTAACTTTTCACGTTCCCACTATACTTAAAAGAAAGAATTTCAACTTAACCAGACTGAATCTTCCTCTTCAGCTCATTTTTAGTATAAGCTTTGAGAACTGATAGCCAGGACTGAATGCCATATTGCTTGTGAACGGCGTACAAATTATAAAAAAATACAGTGGCTTTACTATTATTTCTTCATTATTTTCCATTTTTTATTAGTTTCAAAGAGATACAAATTCTGCTACCTTAAACACCTCTAGGTTAAAACTGATGATTTTCTTCCTTTCCTCTGTTTTCATCACAGCAACTTTTTGACCTTTGTGTTTTGTTATCCCATAATTATTTCATTTCTCTAACTCCCCAAAGTCATTGCTAGAGACTTAAACATATAAACAATAAACTTCATATATTACTGTCCACTGTTGATAATCTAACAGAATATTGGAGAGAAATTGAATCTTGTGATTAACAAATCAGAAGAACCTCTCACCCTTATTAAATATGTTGGGACTGAAATGGAGAGAATAAATCCAATCTCTATAATTATCCCAAAGATGTTTTTCAAAGTATCATGCACCCCTGCTGAGCTTTTATTTTACCCATCGTCTACTTTAACCAAGACAATCTTTTATTATTTGAATGCTCTAAACTTTTGAAGAGACACACAGTCTATGAAAAAAAAGTGTATTTGCAAATAGTAGACTGATGGACCCAAACTGCACTTCATCTACTTTCCACATGCTCATAATTAGGCATTTCTGTTTTCCACAAAAGTAAAATATAACACGCCACTTAACAAAAACAATTAAAACCTCATTTTTCCCTGCCTTACACCCTAATTATTTCCAGATAATTGTACATTTCTGACTTGACTCCTTCAAATGTTCCCGAGAGAACCCACCTGCCAGATCTGAAGTAGAAAATATTTTTATTGTGGGTCTCTCAGCGAGTGAAATTGTCTGGCCTCATTTAGAGGTAACGTCAGGTATGCCTGCTACAGCTGCATTAATTGTACAACTGCAGCCCCAATTCTGCTGCAACTGTAGCTTCAACCTGGGGACTAAGTGCAAGATGGTCTTTTTGAGGGGGGCTTGGATTAGAATGCATGAGATGGTATTAAGGAAGACAGGTTAAGGAAGGACAGAAGCACAGGAGCACCTGAAGCAGTCAGCCACTCCCTACAGATCCTGTCCAACACTTAAGAAATTTTCTGGGTGAGTTTTACATAGTCCTGTTATGAGTTAGTGACCTTTAAGCAGCATCACATCACTTGTCATACAAAAATTATACTCTGAAACACATTTTGAAAGTCTACAGAAGAAAGGCATCTTAAAAAATTTATTTTTACAATCACAGATTCTGTAACAACTAGGACCAATAAATCCTCTCCTGTAAAGAATTCAATCAGCCACCCAATATCTCAGCCCAGCCCTCAGGTACACTGGTTCAGAGTCCCAGAGTAGCTTTAGGATAATTTACCCCCAAAACCTAGCAAATAGGTTTTTGCTCAATCACTCCTGCAAAGAAGCAGCATCAATGTTTGATTGCAACCCTCCCTGACCTCCTTGGTACACTTCACAACAGCTGCAGACAGAAAATGGGAAATGGAGTGGAAGAACTAAACCTCAGGTGATGTTACCTGCTGATGACTATGAAGTCTTGAAGTACTTCTGTGCTGAAACTTTCCATGTCTTTGAATACAACTACAACCGGAGGAGATTGCCAGTGTCTAGAAGAGGAAGTTCTTTTTTTTCTCGGAGTTTCAGAATCTGTTTTCTTTAAAGCCGTTCATTATGCATTAATAAACAGAAGACAGGAAAATAAAAAAGACTGAATCACATCTATGACATTAGTATGCTTCAAAATGACAGGACTGGCTTTTTGCTACAAGTTGTATTTATTATTAGCATCTAGAATTGGAATTTTTCTTCCTTCTGTTTGGCGCAGCAGGAAGTATAAACAAATTTTTGAAATCCACATTCCAACAAAGATAAAAATAGATCTGTGGGACAGAACTGGTGAAATTCTGCTGGGATTGAGAGAGAAGATTTGAGTTGTGTACGTGGACGGTGCCTATTTCCTGTATCTTTACCAGTAATAAAAAAAACCGGCATGTACTCACTAAACTTATTTAACACACTGCTCTGATTAAGTCACCGTAAAAATCAGTTCTAACTTTTATTCATGACGGAAACAAAACTTTAAATTCATTAGCTTTATTAAATCAAAGACACAAAAACATTTTGAAAGTTATTTTCTCCCTGCTTGTCAACGTAGTGTGGGCTGCAAATGACATAACGGCCCATTAGCACTAATAGGGTGCCTTTCCCCCAATGGCTGTTCTTTCTCAGTCTTGTTTCAATAAACAAAACATTTCAGCCCTTCTGGGAGAAAAGCATCTGGCATGAAGTTGATATTGCATTTTAAGGTTACAGTTGCCAATTAAATACATGATAAAATGGTACTTTTTACTTGTTTGTCAGAATTCTGACATCCGTACCTCATCAGAAACTAACTCCTCATTTGTTATATATGTTACAGATTTATAGTCAAATCACCTCAATCTCAGTTATTTTTTAGCATTAAATGAAAAGCTAACCCTTGGCATTTTTTCACTACAGCATAGAAATTGGAGTTACTCAATTTCTTTTTTTGAAAGCATCTAAAGGTCAGGGATTTTTATGAACTGATGATACATAAAAAAAAATATTAAAATCATACCTTAGTTACACTATTGTACCAGTTGATAAGAGAAGACATTGAACAACGTATTCTGTTCTGGGAAACCTGCACACAGTCCTCATCTTCCAGAGAGTCCACATCTACGTAGCAGTTCATCAGCTGCCCCATCAGCTTCTGCATCAGATTTTTTATGCCTTCACAACACATTTTTAGACACATTTTGTTATGTGGAAACACTTCTTCAACTCATACTCTAAAAAATTACTCTGTTATCACTTATTATTTTTCACTTTTCTAAATTATTTGCCTTCTCTCTCCAGAATGCGCACCTCGTGCTCCAGAAAGCTTGACACTATTCATGATATGCATGTTGTTAATGAAATAAAAATTATCCTATTAATTTGCCTAGATAGCAACAATTCAGGTTAAGTGTTGACCCTGCATGTTTCCTGAACTCCAGCCACATACTATTAGCGTAATCTAAAAATAAATAAGGCAGCCAATCCACAGATCTGGGGATGCTGCCATAAGTGATTTTAATATTTTTACTTAAAAAAATAAAAAAGGAACAAGGAGAGTGGGACAAAATTTTATTCTACCCATTCCCTCACTGCAATAATGTGACTATAAGCATTTAAAGAGTAGGACACATACATATACTGTCCAATTAAACAAGAGGAAAGGCAATCTACAATATCAACATGCAATAAACCAAGCAGTGTGCTCTTGAAATTTATGTTAGAGCCAAATAGCATTTCAATCTTCAGTGTTTTCAACAGAACTGGATACCTCTTAAAATACAGCAGACATTATTGCTATGTTAACAAGGGATTGAGCAAGATTTTAGAGAGTCTTCAAGATCCCCCCCGTGCCATTATTCTTATATTTGGGGTCAAAAACTAGAATTTCTAGTTAATTGGCAGCTTATTCAAATGGAGAAGGAAAGCTATTGCAGTATTTACCTGGGCAATCTTTGGCTTCCAGCAAGGCTATATAAGGAGTAATGGTATTCTGAAGGACTTCTGAGAGACTTCTAAAAGTCAAGTCATGATCTGTCACATTTACACCTAGAAGACAGATAAATTTTAAGGGCATTTTTGCTGTGACCACAATAATGGCATAAGAAACTGAACAGCAGGCAAAATCCAGAACATATCTCAAATATTCAAGAAAGGAATGAGAAGTGTTGCATTATCTATGAGGAAAACCAAAAAACCAGCACAAGATTACATGTTAATACTACCGGATTAAAAGCAACAGGGAAGCACTGCAAAGACCTCTCATTTACGTTGTTTTTTGGGTTTGGTTGGGGGTTTTTTTGTTTGTTTTTTTTTAAAGAAAGAATTCTCAAGGGTGCAAACCTGCAAGGAGTAGGACTGGTTTTCTAACTTTCCTGCTCCTCATACCCTCAGAAGCCATCCACAGTCATCTAAGGCCTGCAGACAAGAAGATGAACTTCACCTTCTCTAGAAGAGCAGTGCGTACACCCAAGACTGGATCCTCACATGGCTTATGTAAGGAGGAAAATTACTACAAGTTATTATGAACTACAGTCTGAATTTACTATGAACTATCCAGTCTCTACTACCTTTGTTAATATCCTCTAGTCAACCCCCCAAAAAAAGAATAAGTCCCTCCAGAAGGCAATTCACAACTTCTTCCACAGAAATATTCAGATCAGGAACTTCTCCCTTTCTACCACCTACAAAAGTAGACTACCTTCCAGACCTTGTTAGTGCTCACACGGTAAATTTGCAGTACAAGCCTGATTTTAGGTTCCCTAAAACGACCCACTGAAAATGTGATCAGGTTGCCTTGAACCAGGTTTAGGATTATAGTTGCAACCCATTGAAAGAAAGGCAGGGCTGGGAAGAAAGAAAGACTTCAGAACTTCAGTAATTTCAGGGATTGGATCTTCAGCTGTTTTCTTCACCCTCTCCTCCTTTTCCAAGATGACACCACTTTCCTACATGTAAAAATGCACTGCAAGAACATATATCAGAAATACACAAGCTGTGTAATTCCATGGTTAGTCATAGAAACCACCAAGTGTCTTGGTGGCAGAAACAGGGAGAGAAATAAAGCATCTCCAGCGCATCAGGAAAAAAAAACCAACCCAAATCACAGACCTTTAGGGGAGGTGTTACCTTACAGACATTATTATGTCTGCATCACTATGCAGACAAAGGGGAAGGAGATCTTATCCTACTTCCTTCTCCCAGCCCAACCTTTTCTGTTAACATTTCTGAAACTGATATTGCTCACAGTAATTACTGGAAATCAGCAATATATTTTTCTTTGATCTCTGTGTCAGTTTTAAGCACATATAGATAAAAAAAACATTTATCTTAAAAAAATTACCTAAGACAAGAGCTGCAGTAGGGATTTCCCTGGACTTCATCTGACAAGTCCATTCTGTGGTCTTCTCTTGGAACTCCGAATGAGACCGCCTCAAAAAACTTACTAGGTTATCAAAGAACTGCTGATTCAAGTCTTCCTGTATTTGCTGTAAATAAACACAGAGAGATTTTATTTATAAAAATGTGGAAACACCAGAATATCTTCCTTTTCCAACCCCTTCCCTGGATAATTTTTCATTCTTAAAACTCCAGGGTAAAATTTCAAGTAACACTAAGTTTTCCTGTGAACTATGAACATGCAAATTTATTCACTTTGTGGAAAACACAGATATTTCCTCTCTTGGAACCTCTTGTCAAATGCCTCAACAATAACTTGGAAAGCAAATGAGCTTAACTGTGGTGTCACACTACAGGCTTTACAGGAGAAAAAAAACCCACCATACTGACAAAGTGTAAGTGACTGAGGAGGAATAAAACAATATAATTAGTTTGTGGAAAATGTTCATGAAAATTCCTAATCCTTTCAAAACACCTGTAAATATTTTTTTCTGAGAAATCTATATGAGAGCAAACATTCAGCTCCTCCAAATCTAATTCAGGATAAAAGAAAAAAAAAATTATAAAGGAAGGCCTTAAGTATGTTTTATAGGAAAAACCACCAAACCATGACTGCCACATTTGCTACACTGTCTTTTGCATGAAAATCATCCTGAAGGGCAAGAATATGTATATGTAGAAATATATGGAAAGGTGAGAGAAAGGAGGGGGACATAAAACTTTTAAAGGCAGATATATAGAGGCAGCATTTTTTATTTCTTTTATAATGCATGTGACTTTGACAACCTGTCTCTAATCCAAGATATGTCTTCTGCTAGAACAGACAAACACCAGGGTTTGAAGGTATCTAAGAAATAAAATCCTGACTGGATAAAGTCCTCACCCACCTGGTCAGATTTCACAGATGAGGCCACTTTGAGCAGGAATTCAGACTAGAGACTTTCTAATGTCCCATTCCACCTGAATTATCACACAATTTTATGTATAAGAACCATCATCACCTCCAAGTTTGCCAACAGTGACAGAAGAAAAAAATCAAAGATACTCCAGAAGGTGGATAAAGAAAATTCTATGTACAGCAGCAAAAGTAACCACAGGTAATCTGCCCTTGGGCAAATCAAATTCTAAGGCAAGGCCCATATAAATTTGCCAATGTAGGATGAACTGTCTTCCAACAGGAGGAGGAAGAACAGAAGAAAGTATCTGGCAAACTCTCTAGCAGCCTCAAAGAAAACAAGGCTAGGAAATTTAGAACAGGAAAGAATGATGATTTTCCAGATGGCAATGGCTCTGTGCTTCTGAGCGGTTAAGGTAGACTTTTGCTATGATGGGCTGTGCCTGATGTTCTGAGAGAAATCCTTGTAAAGCACTAGGAAAAAAAAAATAACAACACTTCTTCAACCTGAAAATCCTGCAGCCACTGTTGGCAACGTAGAAGCATTGTCTCAAAACACTGTACCTAGGAAAGAAGATCCAAGAAAAGGTCTTCCAAAAGTAGCTACAGAATGTCATCTTCCCTATAGCCCACCGTGTAGCTGGCAAGGCAGTTTCTGGTGCAGCTGCCAACACTACTGCCTCATCAAGCTGAAGTAGTTGGCAGGAAAATACCAAATATACCTCCACAAACTCCTGTGTGTTCTCTATAATCAGTACCACGAGGTAGCACACAGCTTTGCACAGCCTGGCTAGTTATGGCTTCAAAAGGGTGCTGACTAGTCAAAGCGAGAGGGATCATGGAATAGTAGAAACGGAATTAGAGGAATTTATGAGTTTAGCCCAAGGGTCCAGATTGTAAGCTACATCCAGCTGGCTTCTACTGTACATCCCAAAACAAACTATGGAAAAAAAATTCTCATAACGTCTAGAGCCCAACAGCAAGCAGAGGAATATGGAACACTTGCCCAGAATCCTTGACACTGAATAGAGGAGGAAAGCCCTGCTGAACAGAAGCAATTATTCATACTGTAATACAAGCCAGCTGGCTATAGGGACACAACAGCAGCATGCCATCTAACACACAACAATTAGGAGGCCACAGTTCAGAATGAAATTAACTCCCACCCCCACCAGACAACCCCACCAAAAAATCCCACCAACACTGTCCATACTAATTCAATAGACTGTGCTTGCAGCTGTGTCATTCAGTGTTTGACATCCAAGCAGTCATATTCACATAAATCCACTGTGAATCCTGAGCTGCTATGAACTCTGAGGTCAAGAGCAGCCTCAAATCCTCAGAGGGCTGGCAAGCACATAACTGAATTGAAGGTAGTAAATAGTAGCATGCCAGGAATTAATAAAAAGGACAATTAGTAAGAAGAGATGCTTAGAAGCAGCAGCTAGAAGCAGCAAAAGCATGTAGTTCTGTGGTTAGAACTAATGTGTGATTGATGGATTTATTATTACTATTTCATATTCTGGACAGGGATTTCAGTCTTAGTCAGTATTTCCAGCCTTTTTATGGCTTTAACTAATTGCCTTTTAAGCGTGTTAAAAAAAAAAACCAAAAAAACGATCTCCAGAAACAAAGAAGCAAACAATGTTGGTACAAATGCAAAACACTGCTTTAGTATCTGGTGCAAGACTCACCTCTGTTGCGGATTTGATCTCATTCCATAAAGACTGACAAGTAACAAATCGCAAATTGGCATCCTCCGAATCATCTTCCCTTTCTCCAAAACAAACAGCTAGAAAGACAGAAAGCAAAGGCAAGCACAAGCCAGATTATTAAAACAAAACATTTTTTGTCGAGAAAAAAATGAAACACCCAACTGAAACAAGAACATCTTAATATACCTATATATCTGAGGGAAATGGCTCTCTTTCACCTATTAAATATTCAATCTTCCTTCATTACTACAGTCAGATACGAACCATAAAGGCCTGCAAGAGCAGATACATGAGAATCCTTTCTGTTCCCCAGGGAAGATGTAGCTAAGACAAAGTTCCTGAAAATAATAAGGTGTACTGGGAAGGGACTGTCAGGTTACATGAAATACAGATATAGTTATTTTTGTTCAAATACATTTAACAGACACAACTATGCCAGCAAAACTTTTAAGCGCAAACCAGGCCTACATTTCTGGCTCACCTCTAAATTGCCTCTCACTGCTATAAATGCTCTTTATAAAAAAAGAAAAGGAGAATCAGATCCTTTTTTGGCAAAACAGTGTCTGGGCACATTTCATCTGGCTTCCCAGGTGCTGCTCTGCCTCAGAGATGTGAGTACGGACCCTGTCCACCAGCTCCCAACTAAGAAGGAAAGACTGAGCTGGGAGTAGAATGGGAGACCGAACAGAAACTGGTATAACTGAGTGAGATTTTTCTTGTTTCTCCTCCCACATTCACAGACTCTATATTTCCCTTAAAAAAAACCAAACAAAAAACCCCAACAAAAACCAACAACAAAAAACCCAAACAAACAAAAAAAAAGCACAGTCTTGGTGAGCGCATTCAGTCTCCCAAAGCATTAAAAGCACCCAAAACAGCTCTGTAAATGACAAACAAGAGGCATCTCTCATCCCATATTTTCATTATCTCCCCTAAACTATAACACCTCGTTTGTATTGCTAAGAAAAATTACTTAAAATACATAACCCACTCTAATTACACAGGTCCCAGGCTTTTAGTTAAAATCCAGCCACCACATTATTGGTAATATGCCAAGGCATAACATCACTATTAGACTACCAAAACTCAAGCTACAGGTGCAAATGTGCACAGAGGGCCTTTTGTGGGCTGCAAGAATATTACCAACAATCAATGCTGTGAAGTTTTACAACTGAAACTTCACGCTTGACAAGTTTGGGTTTCCAAAGTGGACAGATGCACATCAAAGTACCGTTTATTTAAAACTCCATTCTAACTGGCTGCTGTGAGCAGCCAAACTGTCTCACCACCACCTCTCTTTTAGGGGTAGTTCAGTTAAATCTACTTTTATGTCTCAAAGCATCTGCTAACTTGAACAACACGTTTAGTAGGATTTATCCAAGCATTACTAATCTTGCAAAGATTAAAACAATACCCAGGAAGGGGTAAAATTTAAATGCGGTTTAAATGCATAGGTCCTGGTTGTTGGTTTATTTATCTTTAAATGACTTGGAATGACAGACTGGATTTTATTTCCCTGCCTCTCATTCCCTGAGCTACAGATGTTCCAACTCCCATGGAAAAAATAATTTGGGATTAATTTTAAAGCAGGTGTTACAGTAAGTCCCTATGGTAATGAATGAGCCTATAGCGATTTCCACAAAAATCTGGCATTGTTACTTTCCCCTCCACTTTCTTTTTTATACAAATTGTCACACCTTTTGACAGCTCTGGTGCTGCTCAAGACAGTTTAAACTGGAAATAAGGACATTAAGTTTCCAAACTGTATCTTGAACAGCAACTACTTAAGCAGCATTATTTGAGTCTCCAAGAACAGTCAGTCCTGTTCAGCCTTCCTCAAGGGACAACAGAGCTCCATATACACCATATAGGCTGGAGAAAAGAAAAGCTATATAACAAGCACTATTGGATAGAAGCCATGGAAGCTTCACAAATGGATTCTCTTCTTTTCCTCAAGAAACTCAGGCAAACTGCTGAGAATATGATGAGACTTATGAAGGGGATATAATTTCTGACTCCCATAACTTAAAAGTGGTTCAATCAGGCTCTTCAGACAAATAGTTTGTCAGTCAGTAAACAATTTATGGTAGCTTGAAAAGGAGTTATCCTGTAAAAAAAAAAAGAGAATTTGCAAAGACAAACACAGCTATATGATCTTGATTGCTGGAGATGAAAACAACATTTACTCCAGCCAACAATTTGCTGGGGTTCCTCTGAAGAAATGGAGTTTTCAGCAATATCGACAACAAGGAGCAACAGAAATCCTCACACAGCTATGACAGAATTCAATCACATGTGGTGAACCTTCCAGGATTAATCCAAGCACAGCAACATATATCAAAATGCACTAACCTGTTTTCTGAGACACCCTTCTCTTCTTGGGACTTGGTTTAAAAACAAAGCATCCCTAGAGAACAGCAAAAAAAATATAAACTTCAACATAAGCATCAATCTGACTGGCATCTAAGGCCACTTTATTCTCCTTTAATTTCAGTGCCCCATTAAACCAACCATTTCAACTGAACTGCCAGCATCTTAAGGATATCAGTTTGCATGCTCTCCCTTTATATTTCTGTTTCAAGCTGGAAAACTAGCAGAAGCAGCATTCCGGCATATTTGGGAGGAACTTGTTCACCCTTCCATTATGTTCTTCAACCATCAACTAGAACAGCAGCAGATTCTTTAAACTTCCCATAACCTCCAACAGATTTAGAATGAAGAGAAAATGATTCCCTAAGAACACATCAGTAGAGTTTTCTCAGTACAGTTGCAGTTAAAAACAAAACAAAAGAAAACAAAAAAAAAGAAAAAAAGCAAGAGTCAAGCACAGAAAAGTGACTCAGAATAATTCAATGAGTATTAAGTCACTCAAAAAAGTCAATGACACATAATAGCTACAAAGGACAAGTGCATCCACCCTCAAAAAAGTAAAGATGGTTAGAAGCAGAGTGATAAATGGATTGGAAAAAGCTCAGATGAATAAAAACCCTGCTCTCCAGACAGATGTTATGTCCCAGTTAGACCAGTTTCATCACAAAAGATGAGGAAATAAAACACAAGTATTAAAATTTGAATTCTGCGGCATTTTTTTCTTTTTCCTCTAGAAAATCTGAAATTTCCCCTCTTTATCCTCTCGAACAAAAAACTCATCTCTTTTGAAGAGTTATAATAATTTCCTGGATATCAGAAATCATATGCATTCCCCAGCTCTCACTGTGAGGTTCCTGCACTACAGCAAGGGGGAAGAAAACATACAAGTGTTCAAGACAGACAAACAGACTGGTTCAATCCCATATTTCTCAATGGAGACACTTACATAAGCAAAGATTACTGACCTCGACCTAGAACAGTTCTAAGAATGATCTAGTGATAACAAAACTCCAGAGGCATGTTCAATTTTGATCAGAGGCACTAGTCTGTTGGATGACTTGGACATGTTATTTCCCTTCTGATACAAATAAAAACACTGCAGTAAAACACTGATATCGGCCGCCTCTGAAAAACAGCCTTATGAACTGGAGATGCCCTCACATACTTTACATTTTACCACTTGTATTAGCAACCATCAAAAACTGGCTGGACAAAAGTTGTGGTTATTCTACAGATGCAAAACACTCTGGAACAGTTCTACTACAAAAAGCTGTGCTACAGCCTTATTTATGCTGCAGTATGCACTTGTCAGAACAGTAATTCACAAGAGTACAACTGGAGTTGGCCAAAATAACTATAAAGCATATATATAAAAAAAGAAATAACATATGCTTAAGTCAAATGAAACCTAAGTATTATTTAATGCTTTAAAAGCTCTGGATTTCCCCACATCACCAAATGCAGCGAAGACCAGAATATAAAATGGCAAAGAAATATTGCATATAGAATGGTTTGGGCTGGAAGGGACCTTAAAGATCATCAAGTTCCAACCCCCTGCCCTGGGCAGGGACACCTCCCACCAGACCAGGTTGCTCCAAGCCCCATCCAGCCTGGCCTTGAACCCCTCCAGGGATGGGGCAGCCACAGCTGCTCTGGGCAACCTGTTCCAGTGTCTCACCACCCTCACAGGAAAGAATTTCTTTCTAGTATCTAATCTAAATCTCCCCTCTTTCAGTTTAAAACCATTACCCTTCATACTTTTGCTCCACTCCCTGATAAAGAGTCCCTCCCCATCTCTTCTGGAGCCCCTTTAGGGACTGAAAGGGGCTCTAAGGTCTCCCCGGAGCCTTCTCTTTTCCAGGCTGAACAACCCCAACTCTCTGTTTTCATAGGAGAGGGGCTCCAGCCCTCTGAGCATCTTCGTGGCTTCTGCTGGACCCGCTCTGACAGGTCCATGTCCTTCTTGTGCTGAAGGACTCCTTAGCCAGACACAGTACTGCAGGTGGGTTAATATGAGACACAGGGAGGCAAGGGGACACACACCTTTCCCTATCAAACCACTTCACGGCAACAGCCATTTTCGAAAAGGAAATCTGCTTGGTTTGGATTAAGTTTTAACTTTGTTTTAAGTCCTCCCCTTTAGTACTAAGGGTGATAACCTGCACAGTGACATCCACAGGGGACAATCCAGCTGCACATCACAACTCACTGAAAAACAATATAAGGGAGAGGAGCCTTCCCGTGATAAAACACATCCCTTCCCGCAATGAACCACTGCTACTGTGCACTGTACCCACAAGCAAGACAGGATTTAAGTTAAATGTTCAAATACAACATTTTAAATCTCACTATGTGGGGCGCATCAAGAAGAATGTGACCAGCGGGTGGAGGGAGGTCATCCTGCCCCTCTGCTCTGCCCTGGGGAGGTCCCATCTGGAGCACTGGGTCCAGTTCTGGGCTTCCCAGTTCAAGAAGGACAGGGAACTGCTGGAGAGGGGACAGCAGAGGGCTACAAAGATGATGAGGGGCCTGGAGCATCTCTCTGATGAGGAAAGGCTGAGGGACTTGGGTCTTTTTAGTGTGGAGAAGACTGAGGGGGGATCTGATCAAGGCCTATAAATACTTCAAGGGTGGGTGTCAGGAGGATAAGGACAGTCTTTTTTCAGTGGTGCCCGAGGACAGGACAAGAGGAAATGGGCACAAACTTGAGCATAAGAATTTCCATCTAAACATGAGGAGGAACTTCTTTCCTGTGAGGGTGGCAGAGCCCTGGCAGAGGATGCCAAGAGAGGTGGTGGCTTCTCCATCTCTGGAGCCATTCCAAACCCACCGGGACACGTTCCTGTGGGACCTGCTCTGGGTGGACCTGCTGTGGCAGGAGGTTGGACTAGATGATCTCCAGAGGTCCCTTCCAACCCCAGATCATCCTGTGATCCTGTGAATGCACCGTCCCTGCCGCCAACCCTGACTACAGGCCGGATAAAAGCCTTCAGCTCAGGAATATTAAGGTGATAACGGCTGTTAAACATTACGTATGAGTGATTTTTTTTTTTCTTCCCGTTAAATTAGCGTGCGGAGACGGCAGCGGGTGGGGGAGCACCTCAGCGGGTCAGCCCCTCCCGCACCACCGCCCTCTTCTCCTCACACCGCCCGGCGGGAACGGCTCGGGGGGGGAGAGGGGGGGATGCGCTCAGGCCGGACAAAGCCCCGTCCCGCCGTGGCGGGGGCGCAGCCAGAGATTTGGGCCCTCCCCAAATCCCGTACGGGACCCTGGGCGGGAGCGAAACCCGGCGGCGGCGGCCGCCCCCCCCGCCTCCCCTTCCCGGTGCTCCCCCCCGCCCCTCACCTTGGAGACGGAGCACGTGCTCATGTCGCCCCTCCGGCGCCGCACCGGGCCCAGCGGTACCGCACAGGCCGCCCCGCCGCCACCGGAGCCCTAAGGGGGAGGAGCCCCTCCGGGAACGACGGGCCTGGCTCCGGTGAAACGTTCTCCGGCCTGAAGGGCTCGCCTCGCCGCTCTCCCCCTCCTCCCCTGCGCGGTGGGACAGCTCTCCGCCTCCCCACACCTCCTAGGCGCCAAGACGGACCAACGGGCTCTTCTTCTCCCCCCCCCGTTGTGAGAATGGTACGGCCCATCCCGCCCCTGGGCGGGCGGAACGGAGCCGGGTGGGAAGGGGGCGGCTGCGACCTTCCGCCCGGCGGCGCAGCCATGGCAGCCTGTTCCTTTCGGAGGAGCATCGCTTCGCAGGTACGCCGCTCCGTCCCCGCGGCTTGGTCTGAGGAAGGGGCGCGCTATAACCGAGACTTCCCCTTCTGCCCCCTCACCCAAACACCACCACCATCTCCGTTACCTTCCCTTTCTCCCCCCCCCAATCCTCTTCCAGTGGGCCCGGCCCGTGGGCTGCCCCGCCCCGCCCCGCCCCTCGGGGGCGGCCTGTGAGGGGAGCCCTTGGCGGGAATTTTGAGGGGACGGCGGTGTCGGTTCCCCCCGGTCCCTTCACGGTTCCATTACACTCCCTGCCGTGCCAAAAAGCCTTAACGCCGTTTTCCCCCCTCCCCGTGGGCGTTTTATCGGGAGTCTCTTCATCTTAGCGAGAATGCGGCCGTTTGTAGCTTGTTAGTGAGGTCCTGGCGTCGGGGGGGGGGCTCCTCGTCCCCCGCGTACGAGGTGCGGGATAAGCCGCTAAAGGCGTGAAGGGGTTTGATGGGATCCTTCATGGGAGGAAAAAAAAAACAAAACACAACAAAAAACAAATCAAAAGATCTCTCCGTGGTGTTTTGTCTCGCCTTTTCTAAGATCTCTTGGGTTTGTGTTGTTCTTGTGAGACCCCACCTGCAGTGCTGAGCCCAGCTCTGGAGTCCTTCAGCACAGAAAGGACATGGACTTGCTGGAGCTGGTCCAGAGGAGGCCACGAAGATGCTCAGAGGGCTGGAGCCCCTCTCCTATGAGGACAGGCTGAGAGAGTTGGGGTTGTTCAGCCAAGAGAAGGCTCTGGGGAGACCTTGGAGCCGCTTCCAGTCCTTAAAGGGGGCTGCAGGAGAGATGGGGAGGGACTCTGTATCAGGGAGTGGAGCAATAGTACGAGGGGTAATGGTTTAAAACTGAAAGAGTGGAGATTTAGATTAGATTTCAGGAAGAAATTCTTTACACTGAGGGTGGTGAGACACTGGAACAGGTTGCCCAGAGCAGCTGTGGCTGCCCCATCCCTGGAGGGGTTCAAGGCCAGGCTGGATGGGGCTTGGAGCAACCTGGTCTGGTGGGAGGTGTCCCTGCCCAGGACAGGGGGCTGGACCTCGATGATCTTTAAGGTCCCTTGCCAACTCTAACCATTCTGTGATTTTTTTGTATTGCTTATGATAGATAATAAATATTTGCTTTTTTACCTGGGTTGAAATTTGCTTTCAGATATAAATGATGTGCCCCCCACGAGTATGTAAACAGAGAGCAGTATTTTTCCTGGCTCTTTTTTGCTTATTCCACTTTGTTCTTTATTTCATATTTAGCTTTCGAAGGTTTTGGATCTGCCACCAGAAAATTTAATAAAGTCCATATCTGCAGTTCCAGTCTCCAAAAAACGGTAGTGTTTACATTTTATCATACAATATTATGTCATGTTTAATTATTTTCTGTTGTGTTTATTATTGCAAAAGCTTACTAGGACTTTAGGGAAAAAGAAATACAGAAAAATCAAAGCTAATACACCAATCCAATTATAAGAAGATACCTAAATCTAATTAAATCCCTGTATTTTTTTCAAGCGAGCTCAAAACAATTGTTTAAGAAGCTGTACAAATTATGGGCAGTGGTTGCATGGAGAGTGTCTCAGCATTAGTGATCTGAATGTAACACTGCTTTGAACCAATGTGAAGTTACAATGGACTTTTTTTTCAGTGTCCTGCTTGAGAGGTGTAATGATGTTAGTGAGTAAATTACATTTATTTGTGAGCATCATTTTTGTTCATTCTGAAATGGCGTTCTCACCATACTGCTTTCCAATTGTATTAGTAAGAGCAAAGGTAATATTTAGCCTTCTATTGCAGCTTTCTAAACATAGTGAACTTTCAGGTATCTCTGACTGGTTTATGTTTGCCAAGTAGACTTGTCATATGCAGAGTCAGCTTGGATCTGCCACATCTCCTCATCATTTCAACACATTTTTTTTCTGATTTTCACTGGTTCTTTTTTTCAGGCACGTTGCTGATTTCCAGCTTTCCATTGCTTCTGTAACAGAAGACAGTTCTAGTAATTGCTTAGCACAAGATCTTCCGCTTCAAGCTCAGAAGCTAGCTGAAAGGGTATGCTAATGCATTAATCTTATATATTTGATGAAATAACAAACTTACAGACCAGAGGTGCAACAAGAAATGGTATTCTTTCTCCAGGCATCCGTTCGGGTCAGAGTAGTTTGATGGCTGCACCTAGTATAATTGTACACAAAATCTTCATAGGGAATTGGAGAAGCAGTTTTAGTTATGGTTCTTAAGAAATTGTTTTCAAGTAGTTTGAGAGTAAAAATATTTGTGACATTATGAGGGTACCTAAAGGGTATTCATAGTCTGGTCTGTTGCCCAAAACTTGAGGGAAAAAATTGAGTATGTAGTGGCTTGAAAAATCAAAGACAGCAAAATCCAGCAGTAGATGGCAATGGAGAAATCCAGCTTGTGGGTCAGACAGGCCAGATTTTCAAATCCTTAACTGCTTGAAATGAAGGTTTCTTAAAACAGCAATTTTTTTCAGGTGTGTTAATCTGGGAAATGGTAGCAGCTGAGATGTTAAGACTGCAACATAAAAAAGAAGCATGGATTGGAAATAATAAAATCATTCCTTTTCCAGCAAGATTGATTAAATGATCCACTTGTGATCGTTTCAAACAAATAAATAATATTTAATGTTTATAGTGGATTAAATTAGTATTTATAATGGATTGAACTACAATTTTCCAGTTAAGCTATTTTCATATAGCATTTCTGTTTTGTTTTGTTCTTCTAGCTAAAATGTGATGCTGTAGTGAGTGAAATCAGTGCTGGTCCAGGAACAGTGAACTTTACAATAAACAGGGAATTATTAGCGAAGGTGAGTACTATATTGCACATGCATTAAGGTACACACAGTTACACAATGAGGTCAATTCTCTAGTCAAGTTTACTGCTCATAAACTCTCCTCCTTTTTCATCCAAATCTATGGTCTAGTTCTACTTTTTATTTTAAAAAGTGTTACCTAATTAGGAGAGGTGAGAGTCCTGTTTGCAACCCTGTTTATGTGAGAACTCTTTCATTTTACATGAGGTCACTGTTCTACCCACATTCTTGGACTTAGTTTCCTTTCCTGCCCACCAGTTATTCCCGGGTTATTCACTTGCCCTTTCATGGTGTGTAAGTAAAAAAAAAAGATAAATCCTAGCCTTTCCACTTACTTTTTTTTTTTCCACCAAAATCTCTACCTATAATTTCTCTAACTTTTTAATTGACCGGATGCAGCTTTCAAAAGTTAATGGCATTTTCATCTGCACATGAGACCTTGTTTGCTTGGCAGAGCAGCCGCCTAATTGCTGATGTGAACAAAGGCTGTGGGACTGGGCTCTGGTGTGATTGTTAAACAGTTTTCCTGATCAGGCTTTCTGTTGTTGAAACGTATTTTCCTTTCTTTTATTTTTCCTTCCTTTTGGTTTAGACAGTGTTGCAGCAGGTGTTGAAAGATGGCTCAGAGTATGGAGTCAAAAGTGAACTTTTCTCTACGGTACCGAGACAAAAGGCAGTGATTGAGTTCAGGTAAGTGTGTGTGATGAGTCCTTTGAGAAAATTGCCTTGTGTGCTGATTGATAGTCCTAGCTGTAATGTGTGATGCCTGTGAAGTTAAACCATATTTACGGTATTATATTCAGCTGGTTTTGATACTCTGGTAGATTTGCCAAGTAGAATATAAGTGATGTTTAGGGAATTGAGGCTTTTTCCCAGAAGATATTTTTGGTATTTAAAGAGTTCATGCCTCACACTGCCCTCCACTAAGAATATTCTCATTTAGTCTATAATAGCATTCCGTTTTTAAGTAGGCTTCTTTTATTTTGTTATCAAGAAACATCATCTGAATTTTCAACCACTAACTCGTTGCTTTTTTCACCTTAATACATTCCCCTCTAACTTGCTAAAGCAGCCAGGCATTTGTATTGTTAAGTCTTCTCAGTTGCTGGCTCAATAATTTCTGTCCAGTGCAATGAAGAGTGGCTGACTCAGACCTCTTTATGTATAAATATTTTTGTTCACTTACACTCCCTCTGCAGACTTCCAGTCATGGAAAGTAAGCACTTGGCTTTAATTTGGAGCGTGAATTTTCATAGCTGAACTTCCATTTTATTATCATGGGTAATCAATTGTGGATACAGGGTTGTTTTATTTTGTGGGCCACTGTTGATAGAAGATGATGTGATTTCAGTTACTGATTCTTTCTGTTCTGGTATGAGATTTATCTCTAATAAAGGTATGAGGAGAATGGTCCTTATGTTCAAAACATGTAAAAAGTGAGAGGGTGATGTAAGTCCTTTGTCAGTCGTGTAGCTGGGTTTTGGGAGGTTCTTTGGTGTGGGGTTGTTTGGAGGAAAAGCTGCCTGGATAGAAAAATTTGCTGTCTAGAACAGAAGCTAATCAGGGAATTTGAAAGGGAAAATTTAAAATTGTGGTTTTATTTCAGTTCTTCTGCCATATGCACGAGCTGAATGACTTTTGATGATCTGACAGTCTTGTACATTGAACAAACATGATTTGTGAAAATTTGTTACAGCTCCCCTAATATTGCCAAAAAGTTTCACATAGGACACCTGCGTTCCACGATAGTAGGTAAGTCTGCTTTTATCTGCCTCCTAAAAGGGCTTCTTTGTCTTTGTGTTTCACTTGTCAGGGGAGCACTGCTAACCTCTCACTCTAGTGGAGTGGCTGTGTCAGGTTTGACTTGCTAATTAAAAACCTTTTGCTCATTATGCAGTGAAGAAAAGAGCGGGATGTGTTGCTGATAGATTTATTAAGTCACACCTAATAGAGTTTTATGGCTGCGAACATTAAATAAAGTAGTTTTAAATTGTTCGACAAAGACACCCAGGGCAGTTTTCATTGAGGTGTTAGGAGAGTCCTTTGAATTTTAAATTTCCAATTTGCACCGGACTGCAGAGCAGGCAGATAGTTATGTCTTGGTGACTGTCTTGCAAAAAACTTGCCTTTATATGTTAATTACTTTGTGCCAGTATTACTAACGCACTAGCTGTCATTTTTAATGGCATAATTAATAAGTTTATTGTGCAGTACTCTAATGGAAAACATTATTTCTCCTTCCTTTCCCTCTCTCACAATAAAAAATAGTAGGTTATTAGCAGAAGATTCTACAGCATCTGTGCAGCTAATAATGTATTAGTTTTTAATTACATCTAATGTATCAGGTATAATTATTAATTTACATAAAGGTAATACTTCTGCCTCTTCATGGACTGATAGTTGAGTGAAATTACATATTTTTGGCTCTTTGCAAGACCCTTTGCTGTAGGAAAAAACCACATTTTCAAAACCGTAGTTCTGTAGATCCATGTTTGTCCAGTAATAAGAGAATGAATTGTAAATTGCAAGCTATAATATAGTGTTATAATAACAGCAGAAGAGAAAGCTTTCTGCATCCTTTTACGTCAGTAATTAAAAGGTACCCTTGAAGCACAGGAAAATAGAGGAAGGGGTGCCCGTATTTCGTTTTTGTAATTCTATGGTTGTAGCTAAGCTCAGGAGAAAGATGGAGGGGTTTTGTTGTAGTAACAGTTAGAACCAAGATGTGCTTATATGATATGGTAAGTTTGGAGTATATCAGCCACACAGAATGGTAAGTGCAGAGCTCAGTACAGCTCCAGCAACGTATAGAGATTCAGGACTTGATGATCACTACTTAACAACTGAATAATAATACCATTATTATTTTCTTTTTACTTAACAGGGAATTTTATAGCAAATCTCAAAGTTGCGTTGGGACATGAAGTAACAAGAATAAACTACCTTGGTGACTGGGGCATGCAGTTTGGTATGTTTTGGTATTTGTTTCTCCTGTTCCCTTTTCTACTGTATAATATGGCCTGAGTTTTCAACTTCAGTTTCTTGCAGGCCCATTGGATTCACTCTGGGCTCCTAAAAAGTAATACTGTGTTTCCATGCGTGTAATGGGTAGTTAATCTCCTTAATATACAAACAAAACAATCCAGACTGATTCATCAGCAGTGTAACCTGTGCCACTGTACAAGAAATTACAGGAGAAAATTTACCCAACAGTGCCTCTGTCCATCAGTAGCTCCTCTCAGATTATATATGTGTCATTTTTAAAGGATAATATAAATAATACAAATATTTTCTGAGTGTCCTGGTTGTACCTGTGGAGCTCAGATAGCTGAAGAGCTAACACCTGTGTCACACTTGTACATAACAATACAGTAATTGTACCAAAATGTATATTTTGTAGTTGGTTGTCTTTGTGTGTGCAGTAGCCTTTTCTTTATCTGTTGTTTTTTGGTTGTTTTTTTTTTTTTTTTTACCTCTGTAAACGAGTTCATTATTCATAGAGTATAATTAACTTCCACAGCAACTGCATTTTGGCAGGTTGAAGCCTGGAGAGTTTGTATCTTTAAAGATATCCCAACACTTCCCCCAAAATATTCAGCTACCCTTTAAAATGTTGGAAAAGAGGAGTGTTTAGGTGGAGAATGTGCAAGTGAGTAGGCCCTAGACAACTATCCATCTTGCGTGTGTGTGTGCATTTGCACACTCACCCATACATACTCCTCCCTCTTCTGAGATCCCCAACGGGTGAGCGAGGACTGAGGAATCCTCTGCACGTGCAGCTCAGCAAGGTTTGGGTTTTATTACTTGACCAGAGATCATTTATCTTCAGTTGATGGATCTGCAAATGGCAGTTGACACATCCATAGGATTTACAACTTTGTTGATTTCTCTTGTTAGTCTTGTGTTTTAAATTGATCCATATTCTCCTCACCTTTTTTAATCTTCCCCCCAAAATCTGATTTTGAGGTATTTTTAGGCATTTAAAAAAAATACATTCATGCCCACTTCTTCACCCTTGAAATCTGGTACATCTGTGAAAGCTATAAAACTCTCCCACATCTTTTGCAGTACGTTCTGAAACCATATATTCTGAAATGTATATTCCATATATTTACTTTTAAATGGCAACCACAAAGTGCAAGGTCTATGAAGCAGTGACTTTTGCTCATTCCAGCCCTTATGCTGCCCCCTTCAGTTTCACTGGGACCACTGTTTATGGGGACTTAATGAATCAACTTTATTAACAGAGCTGTATTAAAACCTTAGTGTAAATACCCTACTTTTACTCCATTTATGTATTCAGATTCAGCAGTGTAGTGATTAAAATGTATTCAGTTCTACCCATTCTTCTTCTAGAGTCAATTCCTGGGTTTCAGACAGTTGAGTAAAACATTCTTGTGCCTGTGAGAACTGTAAGAGAGTATTTTTTCTTTTGTTAAATTATTCCTCTGCAGCTCATCTTTCCTAATCCCGTTTCTGATCAAAGAGCAGTTTATAGCAGAGCTTTTCTTCACTCAGGATTTGTTTCATAGGAACTGAATACAGAATGAGTTCACCTAAAATTCAATACATTTCATCATTGAGTATTTCATTCATTTTTGCCCCTTAGACATGATTTTATCACTGTGGTATTGTATAATAAATGTGGCAAGGACAATTAAGCAATGAAATGCAATGTGGTTAAAGGGCTTCTCAACTGACCTCATTCACTCTGGTTTTGAAGATACTAAATTGTACTCCTAAGTCTGAATATCAGGAATTTTATGTATTTTAATACAAAGTTTCCAGAACACATAAAGATGACATTGCCTGTTATTTCTGTGTATACCTGTTGTCCAGCCCACAGCTGTTAGAGTCGTGCTTTTGACCTGGTCGTTCCAACTGTTTCTCTCAAAATGTGTGTTCCCCTCTTTATTTGGGCTGGCTCAGCTCAACTGTATGACAGGTCTTATAGCAAATAATATAGTTGTGCTTCACAAAATTATAGCATAGGAATATTATTATAATGGTCCTTTCCCAGAAGCAGCGCTATAATTAACGATCTGTCAGCATTTCTATTATAACTGCTATTGTCAGAGGCTCTGAAACATAATAATTGAAAACATGTTTTGCTGAAACATGGCAGAGAAGTCCTCAACCTTTAGGCGGTTTTAGGGCAGGTTTCTTAAGGTAACAGAGCTTATGCAGTCACACTGTCTGTCCGTCTGTCTTCCTGTCACTCTGCTCCTAATAAATTTTGAAGCCATTGGCCAACTGTCAGCCAGATCTGACAAAGAAAAAATGTCTCCAAGAAAACAAATTTCTTTTGATACTGTGACAGTTGGCAGCCAAGTACGGGTAGAAATACAATGTAATGCCCTCGGGGAGAGAAGGTTAACTGGTGTTTAGCCTTCTGGCTAACCTTTTGGAACATCTAAGTCAGAATCAGTCCCAACACATGCTGGATCTTGCCAGAAATTGGTGAGTGTAACAAGAGCTGGGTATAGTTTGGGGAAGATGGAGATGTGTGGAAGGATGTATTTGGGTTGAATAAAAACTGACAGCCTCGTTGGAGGTCGGAGCATGAAGCCAGCATTGAAAATTGGAATGTGTAGGTACACTAATATTTAAAAGGGATCATTAGATTTAGAATTAGTGGAGACAATGCTATTTGTTTAGTTGCAGAGGGCTTTGCAAAGGGGATATCTCTATAGCTGTCCCTCAGCTGCTGTCTTCACAGCAGTCCTGGGCCTTGTCAGCTCAGAGGAGTGAGATGGCCTTAAAAAGAGCCTCAGAAAATCTAAGAGGCTGCTGGGTTAATATTTCTAGATTACTGAAGGAGTTAATGGGCTCTTCTGATTCAGACAAAAAGATTGGGGTTTGGATTTCTTGCCCTTTCAGATGATTTTTGGAATGTGCTGAAGCCAAGTTGGACATGTGGGGAAAAAAAAAACCAAAAAGCTGCATATTCTCAGCATGCAGCAAAAAGTTGAAAACATTGCATGAGTGGTATGTGGAACACCATCTTGTGTCCCAGCTTCTATTGTCCTTGAAATGATAATACTGTTAAGGGAGGAAGCAAATCAAGGAGTTTTGAGCGTGCCCTGTTGCTGGACAGTTTTCACTGTGTGGCTTCTCATTTACAGTTGGTTGCTGTGTAAAAGATAAGTTTCTCTATGAGTCCAAAACCACAAATTGCATTTATGAAGAACTGAAAAATCAACGTAGTATTTCTTACTACTTTATAGCTATTATAGTTTTGTTTTGTTGTTGTGTTTTTTTTTTTTCCATGCAGTGGAATAATAGACTATGCTTTTGATTGGTTTTTGTAGCGTGCATTAGTATATTGCTTAAAAATGTAAGGCATTTATTTTATTACATGCAGTGTTAAGATGAGACTTGCTTATGAAAACAACTAAACAAAACAATATACTCTGGGCTATTGTCTAACTCTGTGTTTAATTGTTATTCAAGGCTTATTGGGTGTTGGTTTCCAGCGCTTTGGCAACAAAGAAAAGCTAAAAACCAGTCCTTTACAACACCTTTTTGAGGTAAGTTCAGAGAAGACCAAATAGAGACTTCAGAGAGCAGTTCATGACTTAGCTGTAAATTTTATCCAGAGTGCTGTGTCTGCAGGATCATGATGAGACTGGTGCTGGATTTAAATGACCCGGCCTGAAGGACCAGTGCTAGCCTGGCCCATAGCAGCAGAGACAGCACTAGGCCATGGCAGCAGAGGCAGGTTCCATTAGGCTGAAAAAGACACCCCGTGAGGGAGGTAATTGTATGGATACTTAGATTGCATTGATTGCTGCTGCCACCACAGCCAGCTTGACCAGTATCAACTATCTTAATGGGGTGTAGGTGACCACTGACCTCACTCTGCAGTGGAAATGGAGTCTCACGTCTGATGCCAGAGTATGTTATGAAAAGAAGTGGCACATATGGTGTAAAAATCCTCTTGTTGCTAGTATTTTTAGAGTAAGTAATATTTAATTTCTGTTGTTCAATACACAATTCAATGCAGTTGGGGACTTTAAAGTGCTTTGCATCTCATAGTGAGTGACCGTCACTTCCCAGAATACCGTTCTGGCTCTGCAGGATGCTCTCCTCTCTTCCATGAAGAGCCAAGAGCATTAGAAGGTGCAGTTTCTGCTGACAAACATCCAGGAAATGCCTTTCAGCAGTAGGGAAAGTTGTTTCATTGCAGGAGGTTGCCCTCTCTGTTGCCCACCACGCCCACCAGCAATCGAGTTGAATTATTTGGGTCTAAATACATAGCATGACCACTTGCTAATTTAATTATTTTTACATAGTACTTTAACTTTTTAATAATTCTTCCACGGGCTTTCAAGATGCTACATGTGGAAAGCAAGGAATCATTGTCTGGGTGAATATTTAGCCCTTAGATGTAAAGGAATATGTTAATGAACAGGAGAGCCAAATTAGCTGGACATAGGTAAACTTGGCTAATATAAGAGTTTGCAATGTGTTTTTTATGCAGTGCAATTATTATAAGTGTCAGCTTTGTAATCCTTTGAAGAAAAGTCTCTAGAAGTCTGTGATAGTTTCTCTTTAATGCATAAATTAGTTTTTCCATACTCTGCTGCTGCAGTTGTTCCAAGGTTACGAGGGGGACGATAGCGACAGCAGTAAGGAATTATGGCATTGGTCTTGTTTCAAGATAAGCTGCACATTTTCCTCTTGGAGTTTGGACTGCTCATTCATCCTTTAAATGTGTTCCTTTAACATGTCTTTTAAATTTGGACATTACAAATGTCACCTTTCAATGTATTTGTCTTGTTCTTGTAGAATTTTGCTTATTTTTATTGGAGGAGAATAGACTTCTTCAGCATTTTCAGTGCCGTTGTGTTTTAGGTGTATGTGCAGATTAACAAAGCAGCAGAGGATGAAAACACAAAAGAGCTGGCTAAGGATTTCTTTAGAAAACTGGAGGAACATGATGAGCAGACGTTGTCGCTTTGGAAACAATTTAGAGACTTGAGTATTGAGGAATACATCCGAATTTATAAGGTACAAATCATCCACTGCTTTTTCTGTGTTGTTGGTTAAATAGTCTCTTTTGACGTGTCACTCCATCAATCTAATGGACAGCGCACAGCACCTTTTCATCCAAGAGACTGCTACATTGATTTAGGAACAGAGGTTGCTGTAATTTTGTCAATGCGTTGCCTTTTCAGTAAACTTTACAGTGTTGTGGGGAAGATGTTTCTCATCATGTCGGGTTGTGCCCCATTCTGTTTGGAAAAAGTACGGTGGTTGATTTAACACCCAAGCAGACCGACACTTTAGTCGCTGACACCCTAGATACGTTTTATTTAAGGAAGTCTATAAAATTGGCCCTTTGACTAATTCTCCCTTCTCAGAAGCCCTGAAGGTAGGACTATGGAGCTAAGCAACGAAGCAAATCAGCATTAAATAAATATTGTTCAGTTTTGCTTTGTCTTTGAAGTCAGCAACAACCCGCTAAATTTAACAGTTTCCGTGTAATAAATTTTATTAGAAGATAACTCTGTTTTCACGTTTCTGATCTAATGGTATAATGCAGAGATGTGTATGTTGCATGTTAAATGGAGTGTAAGCTGTCAGAGCAGCAGGAGTTTACAACAGGAATCAGTGCAGAAGTTACTTGCAGGTTGAGTTGAGCTGATACACAGCCACCTGTTGCACGCTGTAATCTCAAGAGTGGAGCTGGTGTCCACTGTTTTGTGGGAGATGTTTGTGCTGCTGACCACAAAATGAACCTTAGGAATTTGAGAATCAGGAGTGAGATACGCCTGTCCCTGAATCCAGTCTCTTGGCATTAATACTGTATAATCTTACTCAAAACCCAACTGAGTCCATCTGAAAAACAGCTAGTGGTTTTCTTTCCCACACTCTTGCAATGAAATTCCGGAATGGATGCCCAGTTTTGATGGGATTAGACTTTTTTTTTAATTTTTTGTAATTTGCAGCACCGAAGAATTTATGACTCGTTTTATGCCACTTCCTTCTTCCGGGATTATTCTTTACTTAAAATTACACTTTTCCATCTCCTTCCTCTTGATGTATGTGCAGAAATTGGTCGTGTCATCTTTCACCCCTGATGGCTAAGTTAGAAGCAGCCTGTCCCTTCCTCAATAATCCAGATAACCTGGCTGTGCTTTAATTTCTTCCCTGAAACACATCACGGGATTCATGCCAAGTGCTCTTAAGATCTAAGCGAGACACAGCCTTGATAATTTGGGTGGAAAGCTGCCCAGTTTGGGTAGGTGGGTGCTGGGCTGTGCATGCAGCTGCGTGATGATGGTCACTCCTCATTGATCATACAATGACTGGTACAGCTAGATCTTTCTCTCCCAATCCCTTTTCAAACTACTAAGTATCGAGCTGATGGATTGACAACTTTGTTGGCCTCAATACAAAAGGCAAGGTTTTTATCTGTTACATTTCACCCAGTTCTGACAGTTAAGGTCCTCCTATCTCTCCTAGGTGTGCTCTCAGCCTTCCTAATACAGTTGATTCCTGGGTGTTCAGCAATGTTTGTGAGCAGCTCCTGCTTTTTTGAATTTCTTTTAGTATCCTTTTAAAATAGGATTGCTTTCATGTCCACATAACTTCTCTGCAGTCTACTGGTTTTGCCTCCTACACAGCAAGTCCCTACCTCAATTTTTGTAGTAATTGCTCTATCCAATTTACACTTAATTTCTCATGAATATTCTGTCCAACACTGTATTCAGGTCAGGGAGATTAATTCTAATGTAGAAATTGATTAAATCAAAATCCAGGCATCCTTTCTTTTTAGCAAAGTGACATTTCCTGGAATAAAATTTAATCTTTCCACTCTGACTGACCTGTGACACAGACCAATCATCTGACTTAATTTGAAGAAGTGATTAGCCTCAATCTTAACAATGTTACCCTTCTTTGACATTCTTGGAATTTTTCAGCGTCTAGGAGTGCACTTTGATGAATATTCTGGAGAATCATTTTACCAAGAGAAGTCCCAGGAAGTTCTAAAGATGTTGGAGGATAAAGGACTCCTTCAGAAAACAACGTATGAGCTCATTATTCAATCTGTTGGTGTAGTTTACTTAACATCTCAGCTGCATTTCAAATGAGATATGATGAGTGAGGTTTGTGTGTAATCAAAGGGGAAGAGTTTTCTTTAGATGGTTTTGGTGGCTCTTCTAGTTGAAGACCAACAGGATTTGTGCAGTCACAGCTCAAAATTTAAGTTCACCTTTTCTGTGGCTAGCAGAGAGCCGGGCCATGACAAATTAGGTACAATGACAGTGTTCAATTCCTAATGACCTCTTAGGCTTTTAATTAGTTTGGTAGCTGCATGTGCCGTTTAATAAGCAAAGTTAGATGAGATCCTTGCCTTGATGAAGGAGCTGCGTGGCTGAACTGGGACAGAAGCTGTAGTCATAGAATGCACCAGAATGTGAGCAGGCGGCTCCCTGGCATCAGCAGTGGTGACAACAAACTTAGAGAAACAGTCTTCAAAAAGACTTAAAGGAGACAGTCATTCAAAGAGAAAAATGAGATTGTCTAGAGTGAGGGGGGATTCCATGGCAAGAGGCCTTTCTTTTGCTTCTGACCTCTGTCTTATCTGAACGTGCCTGTATATTGGATCTGGCTTGCAGTTACTTGCAGTGTTTTCTCTCAACTTACAGGAAAGGGACAGGAATTGTGGATCTTTCAGAAAAGAAAGACCTTTCATCGTTTTCCACTGTCATGCGTAGCGATGGGACATCTCTTTATATAACAAGGCAAGTAAGCCCAGCTCTGTTTGTTGCCATTTATTGTGCCAGTGAACTTTTGGACATGAGTGCATTTGTAACTGATAGTGCAGATATTGAAGCTTTTTATTTCTGGGATGGAACACCTTGATGAATGAGTAATTGTAACTGGGACTAGCAATGTAACTATGATGGGATGGAAGTGGGTCAGGAAAAACTACTGCTTTTAAATACTTTTCCTCCCCTTAGGAAGTCTGCTAGTAAATCTCCTCTTTCCATAAATCATAATACTTTCTCCAGTTAATGACTTTGAAAATAAAGCTAGGATCTCTTCATTTAGTAAACACTTGCCAAATAATGAAGGTTTTAGAAAGACCTTTGCTTAAAATGTTTCTTGATAGTGTAATGCAGAAAAAAATGGCTTGTTCAGCCATGTCTGCCTGGACTCAGTGGACAACCAGCACCGTGACATGCATTTTGTCACTGTTTTCCTGCCTTCTCACCAGTATCCTGAAATTCCTCTCGGGTATTTTAATATGGAAGCCTTAACAGTTTCTTTGTGCCAGTAATGTAAATAAATGGGATGTCTAGCCCTCAGGGTGATCTGTGTACAGCTTTTCAGGACAAGACTATTAGAGAGATCCTGCAGTCAATCCTACACGTTAGGGAGCTGCTGAACCCTGTAGCCAGGTAGAGGCAGGGCTGCCACAGCTCCGTGCCCACAGGTCCAACCAGTAGGAAGGCTGAGCAGATGTTCCCAGTAGGCACTCAGCACTCAGACAGCACAAATGGCCTCATTTTGTTCCCCTCTGGAGGATTAGGATGAAGATCTATTAGTGTGAAGAAATATACATGTATGTCTGTGGGTATATATGTGATATATTATCTATGTAAGTAACATGCACATGTATTTTCTGTACAGAATATGTATGTACAATGTGTATCCCTCTCCAGGAGCTGAGCTCCAACACTCAGTCTCCCCATTAGCTGGCCCCTGGATCCCCAGGTCTCCCCATTAGCTGGCCCCTGGATCCCCAGTCTCCCCAGTTGCTGGCACATGAGTACGTGAGCCCCCAAGGCCCAGAGTTGAAATGGAGTTTAATGAGAAGACAGGACAATGTGTTGATCAGGTGCAGGGCACGACTGGTCCAACATAGCAATCAGCAATCGGCCTATGAGCCACCTCTCCCTTTCATCATCATCTCCCTCTCTTTTCCCAGCTTTGGTTCCTTCCCCAAGCACCTCATAATAAGTCTTGTGCAATTGCAAAATCCTTTTCCCTTGCATCCCATGTGTCCCACATCCCTTAGGCAGTGTCCTCCCTCAGTCAGAAGGTGGTCAGGAGAGCTGTTCCTGCTGACCCCTGGGGTGGGTTTCAGACTGGGGACATGGGGCTGGTGGCTTTGCTGTGACAGCCCTGGGAGGGACTCCGACAAGTTGTTTTTCTGTACTGCTTTGTGTGTGTGAAGATGAGCTTTTTATCACACAACCTAGTGCTGAGAACTGGGTTAGTTTTCCAGGAGAGGGTTGTTTCTCTCAGATCTCCCAGTTGCTTGATTGTCCCAGTAGGCTGGCAGAAACCAGACTTACTCTGTGCGTAAGAACTGTTTCCTCAGTCATTTTCATAGCTGGTGGTTTAAAAAAAACATTTCAAATATGTCATGGACAAAGTAGACACGTCCTCTTTTTTGTGTAAGACATACATGGATCCCTCTAATCTGGCAGTTCTCTTCCCTCCACAAGAGTAGTTTATTTTCCCAAGAGGCAAATAATGAGGTATGTTTGAGTGCAAATCCAAATAGTTCCTCATTATCTCTTTCAGAGATCTTGCTGCTGCTATAGACCGAATGAATAAGCATAGCTGGGACACCATGATTTATGTGGTAAGTAATTCTAGACTTCACCAAACCCTCTAGAGCCTGGGGGGCCTCTTGCTCCCACTATGATTTTGGGGGATGGTATTTTTGGCAGTACAATAATTCCATTTCTGCTCAGCAACTGTGCCTCAACATGGCGGTGTTTCTTGGGTTTGTTTCAGTTCCTGACCCACAGAAGAGTTGAAAAACCAGCTCTGGAGTTATTCTTTTTTTTTAAAAAATTCATTACAATTAATTTTAAATGAACTTTTACTCAATTGACATTGTATTTTCTATATAAATGTTGTAATTAATATTTAAACAAGTCAGAAAAAGCTGTTAGTGTTCTAAGGGGTTGTGAAATGTTAATTTAGAAATTAATGTTCTGAAATGAATCTAAGTCCGCTCTAAAGTCCTGATATCTTATCTGAAATGTAAATTTTTATGGCTTTGAACAGTGCCTTGGGTTCATTATGTAGAAATCACACATAAAGTAGTGCTTAATCCAACTCGAGCAGTTGGAGACAGGGAATCTTTTTATTATTTCTTGGTTTGATTTTTTTTTTTTTGCTCTTTAACAATTCCAGCAGTATCAATAATGACCAGCAGGATTATCTCACTTGTGTGAAACTTTTTTTTGCTTTAGTGTTACCAAGGACATATCACGAGATGCTTTTAAATTTTCTTCCTCCCAGATTTAGGAAAAAAAAAGTTTTAAAAACCATGTTCTATCATGTGAAGTCAATTAATGACCCATGGAAAAAAATCTGTAGGTTTCTGGCATGTTCTTTATGGTGTGTTTGGTAATGCCCATAAATCTTCTCTAGCGCAACTCTTTCAAAAGCCAGTATAAAGTTACAAATACCATGATTCAGGGGAGGAATCAGTAAGCATAAAATTAAATACCCAGATAGTTTAAAGTCCGATTTTTGGTTAAGTCACATTCCTCCTTCTTCAGGAAGTTTCCACTGACTTGTCATTCCAACAGGTCATCACAGAACAGGGCTTTTTGATTGTGGTTTTTGGGGGGAGGTTGCCTCTACTGAGTGTTCAGTGTTCAGGTGGGCAGCTGACACCTGGAATTCAGCTTGTGCTGTCTGATAGGTATCTTATCTTGCCTTCTCTTTTCATGTTCTTACCTCCATGGGAGTTTAAAGGATTATTTTAAAAAAGCTATTAGATTATTATTAGATTATTTTCTGTTAATGATTTTAAATACTCTGTGTGCTGTTTCTCTATGCACTGGTCAAGACAAGTAGTTACAAAATTAAGTCTGCTTTTAGTTTAGTTTTAGCTGAAAATTCTGCTCGGTGAACAGTCACGAAGAAGCAATTAAGTTTGGAAGGATTAGGGTATTTTGTCAGCAAGTATTGTCATGATTTGTCACAATACTTACTTGCAAAAGGCCACAGTCCTTCAAAGAGGCTTTTAAATGCTGTGATTGTGGCCCAGGTAGTGAGGGACATGCTATTGTGCACACAAAATAAAACCAGTTTCTGTCATAGGATGTATAATCTCTCATGAAACAGGAGAACAGAGATGAATTCAGATCTAGAGGAAACAGCGAGGCAGCACTGGCCAGTGCAGTGAGCTGGCCTTCACCTAAACTTATAAAGTTTATTGTGAGATCTTTTAGTAAGAAAAAAAACTGCAGATAAGCACTTCACTCCCTGTCTTGGACACCAAACAAATAAGGAAATAGCAGTTGGTTGTTTATCGCTGCAGTGTTTTTGAAGGAGGGGTTAAGGAGTCTTTGAGTGATGTAGGCAAACAACGAGGTAGGAAGGAACTTCGTAGCAGCAGCTGTAGCTAGAGACACAAAGATCATTATTAGACATAAAGAAACTTCAGTCAGAAATTGTCTTAAGTCATAGGAGAGAGTAATTGGAAGTGGAAGAAAGCACAAGATACATTATTAGTATGAAAATGTGGTCATGTATACTTTTTTTTTTAAATAAAGCTCTACAAGTCACACTGGAGACAAAAGAAACTAGTGGATTCTGGAGACAGCAAACTTAAAGAGGTGTTCTGTTTCTAAGCCAAAGGAACCTTAAAGTTTGGTGATATAAAACACGGGAATATAAGGAGCAGCAAGGTTCTGAAGTGAGACTAGAGACATTTTGTTTGATGGGCAGCTTGCAGATGATGTGAAACTAAAGAGTGTCAAGGTTTCGTTTCATGGCTTTGCCTTTATGACCTAGGAATAATCATTTTTGAAAAGGTAGATTACTTTTTCTGACAAGATGCCAAACCCCATTGCCACAGACTCCAGCTGTTACAATTTTTTCAAGTCTTGTCTGTCTTCATAGCTCCCAGTTCTGCTTGCAGTGACTTACTGGCACAAGTATCTGTGGTGGGGTGTGTTTGTGTGTTAAAAGTTAATCCTTATCAAACTTGGAGTGTTTTCTGACATGCACCAATTCTGTTCCCTAGACAGACAAAAGCCAAAGTAATCACTTCCAACATTTGTTCCAAATACTGAAGCTCATGGGTTATGACTGGGCAGAAAGGTACGTATTTATGAATCTTAATTATATCCCTTTTTTTTTTGGTTGTTGCTGTTAAATAGTGGGTAATACGTGCATTGGAATTTCAGTGGAGTGCTCTTTAGAAGAGAATCTCCTGATTGTGTCCACCTGCCACTCTGTGGCACACACCATGTAGGCATTTTGGATGAAACTAAGCTACAATCTGTGCTGCTGGTGTGCAACTAATGAGCTCCGGAGTGCAGGCAGAGGTTTGGCCTGTAGGACCCAACTAATGCTAGTCCAGTAAGGAGGAAAAATTAAGAAAACAAAACCCTCAGAAACGTGTGCCAAGGCCACAGGTCCTTGGCACCAACCCTGTCACTCCACACGTTCACTCCTGCTGGCCTGCTTTATTCCTGAAGGGAGGCAGGGCCACGTGTTCAGGGTGTGAAGAACAGCCCTGTCTCTCATTTAACAGGTCTTTCATAGCTGCTTGATGTAAAAATGGGAAAAAGGGAAACAATCTTTCAGAGATTTTACGGCGTAGCTTCTGGGATATTGTGTGATCTCATACGAAACGATTACATCTTGAAGTATGATATTTTAGCAGAGACCTGAATGTAAGTTTGACTCGTGTTTCAGGCTTGAAATACCTATTGCAGGGCAGTGTATCCCCACTCTTACTCATTGTCATTACCAATCTCGTTAGCAGTCTGAGCAAAGGTCAGTAATGGATCTGCAGACTAAATCGTCTTCCTCTCTGACAGACTGCATGTCTTTTGTGGTTAAATATAGGATTTTAGCCATCAGGAACATTAGTCTTCCTCCTTTCACACTGCTTGAAGTTGCACCAAAATTACTTTAGGTTATGGATTCCGAATAATGCTTGGGATTATTGTGAGCAGAAGCTATGACTGTTTTATTATTAGCAATGATTGATTGCACTTTTAGTTTAATGTGGCCACAATAGAATTATTATGACTCCCTTTCTAATGTTATTAACAAATCTGTGTTGCCGCAGTAATTTGATCTGTCTAGATCCTGCCTCTCCTCGATTTATTGCAATTTATTGCACTGAGTCCTCTCTACTAAAGCTGGGAGCAAGAGAGGTTCCCAAGAGCAGGCAAATGACCAGGTTATCATAATTCTGATCATAATTTTCCCATTATATAATAAGTGTGGAGCTTTGGTTGCTGAAATGAGAGTTACTGATTATATCACCGAGCTTCCCACGTTGGAGCACTATTTATTCAGCTGTTATTGCTGTTTCCTGGTAAGAATCCAGCTCTGAACAAACACTGCAAACATTTCTCTTGATTCAAATGTAATTTTAGGTCCTGCTGCTTTTCAACGCAGGTGCCAGCATGTGTCTTTTGGTCTAGTTCAAGGGATGAAGACTCGGAGAGGAGAAGTCATTTTCCTGGAAGATGTTTTAAATGAAGTTCGCTCGAGGATGTTACAAAACATGGCTTCTGCAAAAAGTTAGCTATTTCAGGTCTTATTCATTTCTTTTGATGTTCTGTGTTGATCAAAAATGTGTTGTCTTTTCTACCCTTCGTTTTTCCCTGCATCATACTAATCACAGTGATGTGTCCTGATCTTTGTAATTTTTCTATCTCCCGTAACATAAACGATGTTGAAATAATCCTTTGCAACTCTGTCAACTTCCCTAAATTACAGATTTGCAAATTTTAACACTCAGTGAAATTACTTCGTCGTGCTTTTGCTCTGGGAAGGAAGTGCCTGGAAGGGACAGACTGGTCAATAGCGGGGGTTGAGGCTGGAGTTTCAGGGAAGAGTCAGGTTTCATCAGATTTCATTTTCATTTTTTGTAGCTCTGATAGTTTTCTCTGGCGAGATTGCCTGTAGCTTGTCTGCAGCCACTGCCTCGTCATCCTCCCAGCCTCAGGACTGTTTCCGGAGTCCCCAGGAGGTCACTGCTCTGCCTGCACCTCGGGCTCTGGCTCTGGAGCAGTTTCCTTTTGAGGCAGTAAAGATTCGAGCAGTTCCCAGTGAAATGCTGCCCCCTCTTGTGCTTCCTGGACTTGGATGCTGAACTGAACCGAGGAACTGCTCGGGTTAAGTAGCGTGTGTCTTCCTTGCTCTGCCTCCTCAGCTTCTGAAATCCAGATAATGTTGCTTGTAGAGTGGAGGAGGAGAAGGGAGGGCAGGCAGAGGGGTAGAAGGGTGACCCTCGATTCAAACCAGTTTTATTGAAGAGAGGAATGGAGCTTAGAGCTTCAGTTTAAAGGTCAGTATCGTAGCTGAGCGCAAAGCACTGACCCAGCAGAGGTACAGGCCCATATTCCATCACACCAGGTGACAGGCAGAAGAATGGTTAAAAGAAATAATGAGTTCAAATGGCACTGCAGTGTTCCCCAGAGCTTCTCCGTTAGATCCTAAATCCCACCTGTGCTTGTAGAAACTTTCCCCCTTGTGTTCGAATTCCCGCCTTGCTTCCCCTTTCTGAAGTAAGAAATTGGAAATCCCTGACTCTTCGCAATGTCTTCAATGTTTGAGAAGTGTTTGGATACAGAGGGGAAGCTGTCACAAATTTGTGTGTGGCATCAAAATGCTTCACTCTTCATTGGAAAGATTTTGGGAGCTGGGCATCTAACAGCCAGTGCTAGCTTTAAAAATCATGCCTGTGTGGTGCTCAAGCTGGTTCACTCTTTCTTTGCTATTAACTGAACACAGTTTTTCTGCTATTTAAGTTTCCATTATTGGCATTTTTTTCCTTTCTACTCATCCCAATGAATCCTGCAGTCCATATAAATCCTCTCTATAACGCCTAGTATTTCTTTGCTGCTTTACTCTTCCTTCAATAGCTTTGTCAGTGTCTAAACAAAAGCCTGAATTCTGAGACACTTGTTCTGTTTTGAAACAAGTCTCAGTTAGGAAATGTAGTCATGTCATCTAAACATCAGTCTTTGTGAATGAAGAGCCGGTCTGAGACTGGCTACTACGAACTATGCCCACCCTTTTCAACCTTAATCCTGTCTGAGTTTTGTAAATAGCAAAGGTATGAGTAGTGTGAACTACTCCAGGTTGTCTCAGTTGGCTTTGCTGACCTGGCACAAAGAAATAGCAAAGCCAAAGACGGACATCTAAGTGTGCTAGAACCGTGCTGCAGAACTGTTTGAGCTTAGGGGGTGCCTTAAGAGAACAGCTGAATTCTCCATGTTCTGCTGCTACCTGAGAAATCAGCTGGGAATCAGCAAACCCTAAGCTGAAGTCTGCAGATTTAGTAGATTACATATACATAATGTAAAACAACATAAAAACATCCACCCTGCACCTGGGTCAGAGCATCTCCTGGTATCAATGCAGGCTGGAGATGAAGGGATTGAGAGCAGCCCTGCCAAGATGGCCTTGGGGGTACTGGTGGATGAAAACTTGGACAGGAGCTGTCAATGTGTCCTTGCAGCCCTGAAAGCCAACTGTAAGCTGGGCTGCATCAAAAGAAACATGTGACATGGTTTAATGATGGGTTTTATCAGAGTTAGGTTGATGGTTGGACTAGATGATCTTAAAGGTCCCTTCCAACCTAGACAATTCTATAAGAGTGGCCAGCAGGTCAAGGGAGGTGATTCTGCCCCTCTACTCTGCTCTGGTGAGACCCCACCTGGAGTTCTGCCTCCAGCTCTGGAGCCCTCAGCACAGGAAAGACATGGATCTGTTGGCATCTTTATTGGCATCTCCAAGTTTGAGCAAGGGAGTCGTCGTGCTATTACGGACTTAGGATTTCTTTTTCTCTGTTTCTCTCCAGCAACCAAAGAGATAGAAGACCCTGTGGAGACTGCAGAGAAAGTTGGTCTTGCAGCCCTAATAATTCAGGTGAGTCTGAGCTGCCTCCTGAGGTGTTTGTATCTTCTGTGAAAAGTTACAAATTGAGATGGAGAGCTGTATTTAAGTGACATTAATTTATTTCTCCAGGACTTCCGGGGCCTTCTGTCCTCTGATTATCAGTTTAGCTGGGATCGAGCTCTTCAAAGTCGTGGAGATACAGGGGTGTTCTTGCAGTACACTCATGCCAGACTCCACAGGTGAGAGGAGGGTTTGTCTGCACAACTACTGTTTGATGTGTATTTTAACCTTATTAACTTCCTGCTTTGTTAAGTAGGAAGTTCATGTTTTCAGCAGAGGTGTGAGTTTATGATAGGAATCACCGAGACTTTCCAGAGGAGCAAACCAGTGAAAATGAACTTTCCACCTCATTTCCAGAGGGCTGAGCTAACCATCCCTGTGCTTTCCCAGTTCTAGGAACAGCCTCTCTGGGTGCTTGGTGTCAGTGATGAAGAACAGTGGCCCTAGGATTAAGGAAACTGATGTAAAAACCAAAATGCACATTCTTGTAAAATGTAACAAACCACAGAACTTTGATGTTTTTGGCTACTGCTGTAGCTAGTGGGGTTTTGTCAACATTCTGTTACTTCCCACTACTGGTAACCAAGGTTAAAAGGAGGCACCTTCCTGTTGATTCAGGTCAAACACCTGATGTGTGTTTAATTATTTTTTTAAAAGATTTTTAGAAGAGCCCAGTTTAGTGATCTTTCAGAGAATTTTTAATGCAGACACGGATATGTATTCTCATAAAAGCATGTGAGATACCTTCCTGGATCAGGCCAGAGGTCCATACAGCCTGGAACTCTGTTGGAGGAGATGGTGATGGGAGATGGTGTTCAGGGAGAGCACGCGAGCCAGAGCCCTTTGTGTAGGCTGTTCCTCTCGTGCTCCCTTATCATCTGGGTATTGATGGTTCTAGGGTACCATTAAGAGGGTATTTAGCCTTTTAGCATCAGCTTCTGGACCTGTTGTCCATGCATTTCTCTAATCCTGTTGATACTGAATGGCTATCACAAATTTTATTTTTTTTTATCTTGGATTGAAGTCAGCTGGTCTGTCTCAGTGTTCCATTCAGCTTCGGTGGAATAAAAAAGCCCACCCTTTTTTCTTAAAACCACAAGTGACTGTTTTTCTTGTTCAACTTGTTTATTCTCTTGACTTTTAGTTTAGAGCAGATGCACGGGAACGCGCAGCTGACTGATGTTAACGTGACGTGCTTGCAAGAGCCAGATGCCATCTCTGTTCTTCAGCATCTTCTCAGGTTTGTCTAGTTTTCTTTCCAAATCCCAGTTCCCTTCAAATAAACTTCCGGATTTGCTGCCAGCCTGGTGAGTAGGCACAGCCTGCACCATCACAGGAGGAAAAATGGCTCCTTCAGGCCATGGTTTGTCTGTTGGCTCATACTGATTGCAACAGTAGCTGTCGTTTGAAGTCTTCATGGGCTTCAGAAGCCATATAAGGGGAAAAAAAGCAGTATTTGGAGTATACTCTGTGTGCGTGAGCCTTTTAATTATTTCTTGTCTTTGCAAAAATATGCTAAGCTCTATATAAATAGCAGCTGCAGAGTTGCGTGGTCCCTGTTGTGGATGGAGTGATGCACTTGGCTTGTGGCAAGAAGCAGCGATACATTTATTGATAGAAAATAAGGATTTAACAAGGTTTGGTAGTGAATGCCACAGTATTTTAACAAGATTTGATGGCAAGGTACGCTTAGTTATTCACTGCATGGAAGGTGTTGTCAGACAGAACTGTCAGGGAGACCCTCCCATTGAGCCAAGGTTCAGAAAGGACCCCTTTGCTTTCTGATCTGCTTCTCAGAGAGGGGTCTGGCTGGATCCAATCCTAATCCCAGACTTGGTCAGCAGTTTTATGTCTAAAGGATTAGGTATGTGCTATCAATCCTTCATAACACGTAGTTAAGATTTCAAAGTTTACCATGCTATAGCCCACTTACTGAGGATCTGTTGCGACAAGGAATCTCTGAATCTGAATTTATTTAACTGATAAAATAATCAGTTAAATAAATCCACTTTTGCAGGGATATTCATAGAGTCCTGAATTCTGGAGAGGTCCTATGTACTGCGCACTGCACAGTGCCAAAGAATGAACTCCTTTGGCCACGCTAAGGCCTTCTTGAGGGCATGTGTTGAAAATTGGGACTCTGTAAAGTCCTGTCAGAGTCCCAGGTGGCTCCTTCCAGCCCTGCAACTGGAGGTTGGAGAGCCCTGTCGTTAACTGTAATTACCTCAAGAGCTGCCTGCCGTTTATCGTGTGCTGCAGGCTCTCCTGAGGCACAGCCAGCCCCGCCAGGGCTCTAAATAAAGACCAGCAGTGTCTTATTTATCCCGTGCAATTGTATTTCACAGAAACCTCCTGGGTTGTTTCTTGCTTTTTATCAGCTGAGTGTGTAGCTGCTTGTCTTCTGTGTGAAAGCTGACAGGGTGAATGTATTTCAGGTCGGTTGGCAGGGATCCCTGCATCCCACACCTCTCCCTTTTCAAGCAGAGGTTGTTGCTGTGCTCCAGGGCTCCTATTTTCACAGGGCTTCAGGTCTGCTGAAGGCCTGCAAAGGCCTCTGAGTTTGCCCAAACACTGTATGGAATTTGTATGAAGTGTCTCCTGGGGCCTTTACTTCCAGCAGAAAACAGCGTTTAGGTTATCCATTAGACCAGGCACTCGGGGGCTAAAAAATTCACTTTTAAATATTCCATGATTTCAGGAGTAACAATTAGTGGTCAGCCCTTCCTGTGAGTTGCTGTGAGTAGATGCTTCTGGAAAAGTTTCCGTGATAAACACTCCTGAGTTGCCAGAAGCCCAGTTCCTGGGGCTCTGCTTCTGCTCTTTGAAAAGCTCCCAAACATCTGCCCTAAAAATTAGCCCACTGGTTCTCAATACTATTCACTTTCCAGACTAATGAATAGTAGATTGAAGGCAGCATCTCTTCTGCCCAGAGAAGCTGTGGCTGCCCCATCCCTGGAGGGGTTCAAGGCCAGGCTGGATGGGGCTTGGAGCAACCTGGTGTGGTGGGAGGTGTCCCTGCCCAGGGCAGGGGGGGTGGAACTGGATGATCTTTAAGGTCCATTCCAACCCAAACCATTCTGTGATTCTATGAATATCCCTGCAAAAGTGGATTTATTTAACTGATACAATAATCTAACGAGTTGTCATGGACCAACACTGAAATGGCAACTTCATGAAGCAACAAAGCTGGTATCAAAAGAGGGGCCCCTTCGTTTGATGCCAACTTTGTTGCTTCATTAATGGTTATTTGATGGTGGCCCAGGGAAGTTCAGCCTGGGCACGCTGGTGGGAATGGGCCTGGGGGCTGAGCAAAGATCAGGAATTCCACTCCCCGCTTGGAATTTGCAATCTCTTCAGCCCCAGAGGTGTTGGTAACTTCTTGGAGGCTGTGAAAAAGAGGATGTGCACAAGTGGGCAGCAGAACACACGGAGAAAAAACATGGCTCTCCATGACTCTGCCTTTATTAATTAATTAATACCGCCTTACATCAGTTGATTTTATTCCAGGATTATGTAAACCCACTTTGTTTTTGTCTTTTTGAATGTTCCAAGATTCCCTTTAGCTACTTAAAATTCTAAGCTGCATTTACGAAAGGCAGCATCCTCTAAGGGACTGTTTTGACCACCTTGGTGATTTAATACATGGGGTTTGCTCCTAGGAGCTTACAATTAGTGTCGAAATGTAAAACCAGACGTAATGTTCCAGGAGCAAATATAGCTCTTGTGTTTCTGCCTCTCCGAGCTCTGCCATCTATAGTGTGTGCATGAGGAGGAGCAGAGATCTCCTTCAGTAATAAGTGAGCGAGGAAGAAATAATGAATTGTGTGCTAATTACACAGCTGGGGGCTGGTTCAGAAGATGATATTTGTAAATTCCACCCTTGTTGGTTGTGTGTTTGTTCTGATTTAAGGGAGGCTGATGAGGTGTACGTCGGAGCACACCTTCCTACTGCTTTAACACCAAACAATCCTTGGGTGTTGCTCTTTCTTCACAGGTACGATGAGGTCCTGTATAGATCTTCTCAGGATCTGCAGCCCAAGCACATTGTCAGCTACCTCCTCACACTTAGGTAAGGTGATTGCTGATACTGGTCTCCTCTCTGGTAAGGACAGGTCTTCCTGAGCTGGCTCTGCAGCCCTCCCATCTGCTCTGCTTTGAAGAGTAAAAACAGTGGGAAGATGTAAATTTGTGGGATGGTTTCTCTGGAGCAGGAAAGGTATGAAAGTAGGATAGTAAATAATATAATAAATAGTAGAGATGTTGGTTGGAAGCAGGAACAGAGGAACCAGAAGCCTCCTCAGAAACAAAATGCTTTCAAGAAAAAAGGAATCACTCGGCTGTAATGCAGTGTCTGAACCCAAAATCCTGCTGGACTAATCGTATCTTGAAGAGCAGATTTATGCTCTCAAATCTCAAAATTTCAGCTGGGAAATTTTGTCCAAACCCTTTCTAACCACCGATCTCAGCCTAAGTGTTGAGATGGACAAAGCCCATTCTGACTGTAAGTCATAACTGTGTATGTGACCTCCACAGGGAGGGTCCCCGTGGGGACCTCTCTGATTTAACAGCTTGGGGAAGCACTGGAGTAGACTTGCTGGAGGAAGCTCTAGAGCCTGTGCAGGGAGGGCTTTAACAAGTTAAGGAAAATCATACAAGGAATCAGGTAGCCTGGGAATGACAGCGCAGGCTCTGAATGGTCTTTCCAGACCAGTTTGGGGTTTTTTTTGTAGGGGGAGGGAGCAGAGAGATTGTTTGGGGTTTTTTTACAAGCATTAAGTTGTTGGTGACATGCTCTGACAACATGCTCCCGAAAACCACGCTCTCCCTCAGCCAGGTGGAAGAAGCAGTTGGAAGTGAGTCTCTGGGATGCTGCAGTTGTGGCTCTTCCAGCTCTGCCGCTTTCCGTAGCGCAGCTCTTGTCAGGAGACGTGCTCCTCCTCACCCTTCTCATGCTCTTTTCCATTCCAGCCACCTGGCAGCCGTGGCCCATAAAACTCTTCCTGTGAAAGGCAGCGCCCCTGACGTAGCCCAGGTAGGACACGGGGTCGGTGGGTGGCTGGAGGCTGGGTAGGGTGGGCCAGGGGGACCATCCACTGGGGCTTTGCCAATCCAACTGGGGTGTAACACTGGGGGGAATATAGAGAATTAGATGGAGAATATAACGAGCCACTGCTCCGGGATGGCGGGGAAAGGCAGCTCTGCCTGAGCTTACCCAGCACAGGATGCTCCAGAAGGACAAAGGCTCCAAACCCAGTCAAAACTCTTTTCCTTCTCAACTTTTTTTGAAAGTAAATATTTGAGCATTTACCTTGCTGGTTGATTTCTGATGGTTTTCATGTGGGAAGACAGAGAATGAGGAGGTAACTGAACTTCTCTCCTCCTTCTTGCCACCTCCCTATCCCTGGTTGTCTGTACTGCCCTTCTAGCTGTCAACTGTTAATGAGCAGTTCCAAATAAAAGCAAATTATTTTCTACTGATCTCCCAGGCAGTGTTTGACCCCTTAACTGCTCAGTTAAATGAGCCACTCATTGCACTGCCTTCCTTATTTTCTCTCTCATCTATCCCAAAAGCAGTTACCTGTCTGATTTGGGGAGGAAATCACATTTACCTGTTGAGCTGTGTTGTGGGGGGAAAAAATGTCAGTGGAACTGCTGGAGCCGTACTCAGTAGTCGAGCTTAGATGCAATAGGTGTTTCTGCCTTTGAAGATGGTGCCATGCGTTCTTGGGAAGAACAACAGCCCAAGCTACAAGGAAAATTTTGGTTCATTATCTTGTAAAAAAAAAAAAAAAAAAAAAAA